AGGGTTGACTTTTTGGCAACACGTTTTTTCTCAGGTATTGTTTCGATATGACCGACATTTGGCGTCAAAGACTCGAAACTAAGCCCCGCCCCTGGCCACTACTCCATCACATAAACACCCCTAAACATGGTCACATGTCCTCTAAGGCTTCAGGTCGAGGACGTCGCTCTTTTGCCCTCAATGTGGAGGATCACAATAAATCGGAGTGAACAACAGAAAAAGAACTTGTGTTTGTGAATAAATTGATCTCACTTCAAGAACCGTTCAGACAGGAATTTAAAAACAAATAGGCTCAAAAACGACTCAAAACTGCGTCATATATTCACAAACGGCGATTTGCATACTTGAAACGAAAACTTGAAAACACTATAGTGTGAAAATAAAAAAGACAGACAAAGCCTTATCAGAAGAACTTGCTGAGATGTTTGAAGCAACCGACATTAGGCCAAATTATTAAGCTTCAATTATGAAGACTTTTGAGAGGAGAGTTGTGGCCAAGTCCACCTTCCGCCCTTCAAACAACCCAGAAACCATTTCTGAACAAACTATATTTTTAAATCACATTTTTATCGCTAAAAGTATCCCAAATCAGTTCAACAGTCAATAAAAAAATTAAAGTTTCACCCGAAAAAAACTCCCAGGAATGTGAATGAGATCCTTGATTTTTCCTTAGCAAACAAAAAAATGTGCTGATATGAATCGGAAAAAGCCAACAATTTATTATAGGAAATCCGAGAAATTGATCAAAACTAGAAAGAAAGTTACAAATTGATTTTTAAAAAATTGTAGAAAACAGACATACTTTTTTCACAAGACCCGGTCTAAGATGTCTATTTCAAGAATGTATTCATCAAACACTTTCCAAGTAGGGTTTGAACTTTAGAATGAAATAAGAAAAACAGTATAAATAAATCTAAAATTCAATGAAAACGGATTCTGAAAAGCTCGTTTAAAAAAACAGCAGAAAAGGCGCGCTATTGCGAATTTCAGCAGCGGCTTTCAATTTTTTTTTTTTCTCCGAGCCAAATTTTCGTCAAATGTTTTTCTTATTATTCTGTTCAAAGCTTCCTAAATGGAAAAAAAGTGGTTATCGAAGAAACGGAACATGTTTCAATGCGCATAAGCGTGTTCATTGCATTGAAGTTGCTCCTAAACAGAAGACGGTTAATGAGAAAAGAGCTTTTAGTAATTTATTTGTGTTTGATTTACAATAAAAACTTTATTCGAAAAAGTCTGTTTCATCTAAAAAAGACGTCAGAGATAGTTCATCGATGCATATGGTGAATAAGTTTTGCAGGAATCTATTTTTATTTTTTTTTCTAATTGAACTAACTTTTTTTCGAAAAAGCTCATTTCTTTTTTTAACCTACCTAATGATTTTTCTGTTGGAGCATGTTTCGTTTTGTCCGATGAATATGCAATAAAGCTTAGGCGCACTTATTTCGTCTAATGAATGCGTTCAAAGTGATCCTACCTTCTTATTTTTGAAGCTGGTAAACTTGCTCATTTTTTTATCGTTTAATTTTTTTATTTTGTTGCATGTTTTTTTAAGCTTTTTTTGAATAATTTTTTGAGAAGATTCTTCCAAAAACAAAAAGTTTATCGAAAAATGAAGGAGTGAAGCTGAATTGGTTGGTCAGATTGCATTTCCATTATATGAAAAAAAGGTCAATTTTTTTCTGAAAAACTTTTTTTCATGTCTTTTTTTAGGAGCTTGAGTTTTTTTAAAACTTACATTCCGGTAAAAGCAATGAATCAAAGAGTGCATTTTTCAGAAAGTGATTAAAAAGTTTTTTTCAATTATGTAAAAAAATGTCTTAAAAAAATTTTATCGCCTTTCTGGTCCAAATGGCGATTTAAAAAAAATTCATGGACAATAGTCTCGAAACAATAATGAAGATTTTTTTAGAATGAGTCAAATATATTTTTCTTGAAAAAAATGTTGAAAAAAACGGTTTTTTTCCAGAGATCATTCACAGGAGGAAGTTAAAAGAAATAGTTTCAATCCATCATTTTATTGATTTGCATAATGTTTGGCCGGTCGCTGAATTGGAATTTCGTGAAAAAACAGATAAATTTTTGGTCTGTTGATACGATATGAGAAAACAAGCGTTTTCAAATATGACGGTGAAAAATATCATTTTCAGCAGTTTTTTTTTTCAAATTTTCTCCGTTGCTATTTGGACTTTTTGAAGTAGAAAAAATTTGCAAAGGTTTTGAAAAGGGATAAAATATTTCAATCATGTTTTCCAGCCTCTTAACTCTTTTTTTTTTGATTTTGAGCTCGTTTTGTCTTTCTGTGACCTGTTAGCATATTTTCTCGACCTGACAGCCATAAAAAAGAAAAAAGAACTAAAAAAGCGACGTCTTTTCAAAACGAACAATGCTCACAGCAGGTAACGAGCGTATGCATAAAGTAGAGGTGCACGAAATGCGACCGGTTCTTCCTTCCCGATAGCAAAACATTTGAGACGAAAATCGGCCCAACAACATCTTCTCCTCTCTTTCTTTTTTCTTCACGAGACTGAAAAAAAGACTTATCACTATTTCGGGTCGTCTGCCCTTGATGAACATTTTTGGCGCACGGTCGACGCCTTCTTTTTCTGTTGCAAGATGGTTTCGCGTCTGTGTTTATTTTCAATTTTTTGCGATTGATTCGCGAAATCTTCGTTCTTTTTGCATTAGTCATGTTTTAAATTTGATTGAATGCTGGAAAAGTCGGTCGGTTCGGTCACTTTTTTAGGACGCTTATTTTTTCAAGTTTCCGAAATTTGAAAAGTTTTTGGGTTTTGAAAGGTTTCAACGGTTTCAAAGTACCTTTCTGTTCATTATATAACAAGTTTCGAAGTTATTTTTTTTGAAAACTCTGGCCATTATATTTACAAAAATACACTTTTTTTTCTGATTTTCTTCATTTTCGCCAAAAATGCTCTAAATTCTCATTGAAAAACCATTTCGCACTTGACAAGTTTCGATTTCAGGTCAAATTTAAGAACGTTGAAATTAAATTTATTGGAAAAAAAATAATCTCCTATTTTTGAGCCGCCAATATTTGATTTTTTTGAAACCTAAAACCTAACCACAATTGAGATTTCTACGCATTTCGGACACTCAAACAATTTAGAACTGGAAAAACTTTTTCTCGAAAAATTTCGCGTATTTTTTTCTACTCAGATATAACTTCATTATTCAGCGAAGAATTCAAAAATTCTTCTCAGATTTTCAAATTCGACATTTCGAATGACCAAAAAGAACGCCAGACAAGTCTTTAGCTACAAAACTTTTCTACAAAGGTTCATCTAGATTTTTTTTTTCCAAGATATCAAAGTTTAGGTCGAGACTGTGAACTCGAAAATCTCAAAAATCTGTTGTAATCGGAGTTTTTTTTTTACATGTTTGCTCGGATTCACTGGTAAAAACCTCGCTCTGAACGCTTCCTTCCTAGGCCTTTTATCCAAACCTTTTTTTTTCGCAAAAGAAGATTCCGATGTGAATCCGATCCGCCGCCTTTTCGAAGCGCAGAATAAACGCCCAACTTCGTCTTTGCTATGCGATACTCTCCTATGCGTGTGTTGTGTTTGCTTTTTTTTTTTGCAATCCAAACCTTTTCCTCGGTTTTGACGGTGTTCTTCCTCATTTTTTCTGCTTTCTGATGTTTTAAATTGGATTAGTGCAAAATTTCAATCCCAAGCTCTTCTTATTTCACATCTGGGAAAAGAAGAACCCAAAAAAAGTTCTGCAGCTGTGAACTGCAGAAAAAAGGAGGGAAAAAACTGTTCATGCGAAAATTCGCCCGCTTATACAATCAATTCAGTTCCATCCCCCCTCTCTCTCTTTCTGTCCAACAAGGAGAGTTTTAGGAGAAATTAAACGATTTTCTCTTCCTTTTGTTTTGTTTGCCGCGGTTTTTACGCATGCAAAAGCAAAGTTTGTGTACTTTGGCGGCGCAGAGAAAGCCTTTTTCACGCGTCAAATGCCTCGTTTTCCCATTTATTCTTAGCCTTTCTTGTAGAACAGTGTCCATAGTTCATTCATCTGCATTTTTTTCTCGCGAAAAACGAAGATTTTTCCATTCTTCAAGATAGTTTTTGAACCAAGTGTGGTGTTTTTCGGTATTTATAGGGTTCCACGGCAGTCGGCGGCGTTTTAAAACACAAAAAAAGTACCATGAAAAAAGTTTTTTCGATCTAAGCTTCGAGGCTATTCAAAAAGAAAATTTATTTGTTTTTTGTAATCATAGGAAAAGTCGGAAAGGGTGGAAAAAGGCTCCATAGGAATGTTACTTTTAGGGTGAAAAGGCTCCTGTTTTGCTGCCTTTTTGCGCCATTTCATCGGCATTTTTGGTGAATAATGGATAAAAATAAGAGAAAAAGAGATTTTCGAAAAACTTCAAGACCATTTTCAAAAAACAGACTTCTAAAATGTTCATAATGTAGATAAATATGTACTTTAAACCCATTACAATCCAAAACATTTTCAAAATTTGAGAAGTCAAAAACATTGATTTTCTATTTTTTATATACTTTTGAAGCTTCCTGTTCACGGATTCGTTATAAAATCAGAAGTTTTCGAATTTGAAGCATTTTTGAACTCAGTCTCCTTTTTTAAATTCGAAAAGGGTGGAAAAAGGCTTCATAGACATTTTCCTTTTAGGGTGAGAAAGGCTCCTTTTTGCTGCCTTTTTGCTCCATTTCATCGGTTTTTATGAACCATTTTTGCTGCCCTTCCTTTTTCCATCATCTCTTGAGATTTCAAAACCCAAAAAAAAAATTGAAGGCTCCATAAAGGGTCTCTATTTGCTGCCTTTTTGCTGCCTTTTTTGAGCCTCTCTCTTTTAGCGGCCATTATCCACCATTTTGACTTCAATTTATTCAAGTTCACCTTTCACAGTTATTTGTCGATTCAAGCGATTTTGGGCTTTCTCTTTCATTTTCCGATTTCCCAGTGTTGTTTTTTTATTCCTTGCGATGATTATTTTGAAGTTTCAGAACACTAATGAAATGGAGGCCTCAACATCGTTCCTAATTAATGACACCGAAATTGCTAACTCTACAAACTTTAACACGAAACCGGTGAATATTCAGCTTTCTCTTGGATTTGCTATAATTTTTTTTTTCTTGTTTTTCTCTGGTTCGTGTCCTCAAAAACTATGTAGCTGATTCACGGCTGGCTCGAGCCATCGAAAAAAAGGGTCCTGACACGATAATGCACGAGACAGTGCCTGGCTCGTGGAGAGCGCAGATAGGCCCTTTTGGCGTCCCGAGCTATCCGTGAATCGGCTATATCATTAATTAAAATTATTGAGAAATTCTTTTTAAAAAAATCATTAAAAAAGGAAATTTGAGGCCACCGAAATACTCTACGACGAGGTCCACTCCACGTTTTGGGTCGTTTTTATCATCTACGTGTGTTGTTCGATCACCTGGATTATTTATTGCTGCCTTTCCTACCACAGGTGTGTTTTTTCACCTTTCTCAAAAAAAAAGGTAAATGATGGTTTTTCAGAGAGTTGGAGGCTGTGAAGAAGAAGGTTCACGAGAACGGCGTCAGAAGACGATTGGAGTTTGAGTGAGTTTCTCAAAATTTGAATAATTTTACAGACTTGAAGCTTAAAAAATTCATTTTTTTTTTTTGCTCACCAGGGAATGGTCTGAGTTCACAGGGGGACCTCTGAATGAGACCATGTTTTCTAGATGTAGTTTTTCATGCTTATTCCTAATCTGGTCTCAAAAGCTGCCATATAGGTCTGTGAAAAAATTTATAGACCATCAAAAGTCGAAAATTTCATAGTCTCCGATCGAGCTTCCCTGGTATTGGTCAGTTCCTGAGGGTTTTTTTCAAAAGGTTCCTGAATTCCTGAGTTTTCATTACGACATTTTAGCTCAAAAACGTTCATTTCATAAATTATGGAAAATTTCAAGCTTGAAGCGGTTTTTTTTTGTTGAATTTAACTATAGCGCACAACCTTTTTTAGATGGATTTATTGAAATATCGATTAATTTTTTTCGAGCTTTTTCTTAGGTTTCTGTGTCTAAACATGTGAAAAAAATGATACTAGAAAAAAATCACATAAAGAACGCTTAATTTAAATAATTTTTGAATCGGAAGTTTGTTTTTCTCCGTTTAATGTCATTGAGGGATTTTTCAAAGGCCTAGTTTTTCGAGAAATTTAAGTAAATAAAAAAATTAACGGGCCAAGTTGTAGTTAATTGTAAAGAAAGAGACCTCTCTTATGAGATTTGCGCTTTTTTAAAGGCTCAGAAGACGTTCTGGAACAAAATATATACTTACTTTTTAGTCTGAAGTTTTTTTTTTGAGTTTCTTTGATGTCTCGGACAAGCATTTCTAGTGACCACTTTAGCAGCCTCAGCACTCTCAAGTGATCTCTTTAATCGCCCAGAAACGTCCTTTTCGGGTTATCAGTTTCTGAGGTCTTACGCAGCCATTGTGCGATTTTTGTAAAAAATTATCTTGAAAAAATTATAAAAGAACATTTTTGTCTTGTTCTTACCTTTTTTGTATACCGTTTGCAGTGAAGTAACCTTTAAAATGATTCAAGTTCAAAAAAATGTTTCAGCCGTATGCTAAAAGCCTACGAGCGAATACCGATGCTCACCCAGCCCCGTACTGCTTCTTCAACTCCTCCCCCTGAACAAATCGAGCCGATCGAACCAGTTTGAAAAATCTCGAAACTCACTTTTCAGCCTTGTTTTACGTGTAATTTTTTCCCACGCGATATTGCTTGTTTTATCTGTACTGTTTGACCATTTTCCCAATAATAAACCTATTTATTTACTTCAATCCGAGTCCTTCTTGTACCCAAAATGAACCGTTTTTTTGCTGACAAGAGATGGAAAAAAGTCGATTATCTTCTCCCTTTTTCAGTTCACAATAAACAACATGCATTTTGGCGGTCAGTCCGCCCATTTTTTTCTTTTTTTTTTTCTTCAGTTCACTTTTACTGGTTTCGGTATATGTAGACGCCCAAGTTTGTCGTTTCAGTTTTGAGGTTTTTTTTTATGATTTTTGACTCACACATGAAACTTCTTCTGTACTGGTTTGTGTTGGAAAATTGCGAAAATGTGATTTTTTTTTCAGCTTCATTGTCTTCAAATTGTGAGATTTTTCAACAGATTGAGAAAAGTTCATTTTTCCACAAAATGATTCGCAAACTTTTTAAGGATTTTTAGAAAATCGGAAAAAGTTCCGTGTGCCTCATAACATGGCGCCACGCCATGCCGTTTCCAGAGCAACCTCCGCCCGTCAGATATGATGTTTTTTGTGCATACACCCCAGACGGAAGTTAACATACTTCCAAAGTTTTTCTTTTTTTAATGAACAAAAAGAATTTTTAGAGGAAAATTTATTTATTGCTCATTTATCGTTATATATCAAAAACGTGAAATACTCAAAAAAACAAACTTTTTCATTGAATTAAGTTGAAAATCTCTTTATAAAAAATAGTTTTCAATGGGTTTTACTGTCCTGAGAAGCCTTTTTCGGTATTTTAAAGAAGGAGTGGCGGATTTCAGAGATTCTCGAGACGAAGATTCACCTCTAGATATTCAAAAGCTCTTGCTCCTTTAAAAAATTGATATTTTCTAGCTGTAAAAAGTGAACGAGCTAAAGATCCCTTTCAAGTCTTTTCAGCTTCTTTTGCTCGATTCTGAAATCTATTTCAGTTTTGTTTACGTGTTCTTCAAAACTTCAGAAAAATTTTCCAAGGATAAAAAATCCAGTAAACTCCTCCACTAAAGGAACAATAATCTTGAAGACCATTTTACTCTAGTTTCAAAAAAAAAGCCACCCGACTTCCCCGTTCTCCTTCTTCAATGAAAAGACGCACTTTCGCAATTTCTCCCTTTTCTCATTCACTTCAACCAACCTTCGTTGAGAATCACCTGTTTCACGACTTTTTCTCGTTCGGGAATTCCGTCCGATTTATCGAGAAGCGTGACCCTGTAGCCTAGATATGGAGTCCGCCTTTCGCCGTTCAAACGAAGACGAAGAATAATTTTTCAGTCTTTGCAAGATGCTTCTTCGTTCGTTCGTGCTTCTGGTCGTCCTCCTTGCCGTCGCCGTCGGCGCCTTCAGCAAAAACTCACTGAGCAAGGACAAGAACACCCGCTCCTACAGCAAGGTTCCGGTAGTTTCTGATTTTCTTTTTGATTCTTTGAAAAATTTTCGTCTTAGTCTGCTCACAAAAGCTCTCAAGCGTTTTTTTAAAGTTTCAAACAAGGTCCGGATACGAGAAGCTTTTTCTGATTATTATAATGTGTGCGAAATTCCTATTTTGAGTGTTAAAAGAATCAGTAAACCTTCGAAAGGCTAGAAAAATAATTTATCAAGAAAATAGGACTTCTACCCTTCTGAAAAATTCAAAAAAGACTATGAAGACAATATTTTGACCTTGAAAAAAAGTGTTTGAGAGATAACCACAGAATCAATTTTTTTAAAATTATTTTTTTCAAAAGTTATAAAAACAATAAAAAAACGAAGTTGAGCTTATCAAAAAGCCAAAAAAACGTCCTAACTATACTTTTTTTCGCCACAACTTGAAACATTCTGACCTGTCTGCGTTCTGTCTTTTTAACAGTCTATTTTCATATGACGTCATGTGAGATGCAGGCAGGTCGCAAAAATCTGTTCAAATTTTGGATGTGAAGTCGTCTTCCAAGCTCCGCCTTTTATAAACCAATCAGAGAGCGCGTTTCGAATGACGTCATTTTGATTGAGATTAAAAATCTAAACAGACGAGATTTTTATGAAAATAATTCTCGAAACTGTATTTCGAAACTCACTCCATTCCATTACAGCACCCAATTTCGAAGCGAGTTTTGCGATTCGAGCGTTCCGTAACGCTTGACGACCTCGTCTCGGGCAACGCCGAATTCCCGAAACCCGACGAACTTTCCTACTTCAACATTGACTTTGCCAAGATCCGACCGTGAGTTTCGTTTTTTTCATTTCGCGAAATTCAAAACTTAGGAACTCCAAAGTGGTCCCTATAGGGGCCCTTGAAATGTCCTCTCTAGCGACCACTTTATCGACCCCTATAGGGGCCACTAAAGCTTGCAAAAGTGGTAGAGGGGATTTAGTTAGTGACCCCTATAGGGGACAATAACTCTATCTACAAGTCAGAAAGTTGAGTTTTGCTTAGGAACCCCAGAGTTGTCCCTGTAGGGGTTATGATAGGAACCCTTGAAGTTTCCTCTATAGGGGCCACTGAAGCTTGCAAAAGTGGTCCCTATAGGAGTTTTTAGTGGGAGCCACTTTAGGGGACATGCTAGTCTTGAATGTTTTTTTGTGAAATTGAACGACCACAGGGGAAAAAATTATTAATAAACAAATTTTCAGTGAGATTCCCTCCAAGACCAAGACCTCGTCCTACGGTAGCCTGGACTACGCTCCAGAGCTGGAATTCTAAAGAGAAAACCGTTTTTTTTTTCAATTCCAAAGACTTCAAAGACCATTCCTTAACAATTCTCCCCATTTCTTCGAAAGTTGTAGTCCGGGTTTCGCCAAATTCAGAGTGTACATAATAAAGATTCATTCCAAGCATTTTATTTCTAATCATCGTCATAAGAAGATCCGGCGGCGTGGCTTTTCCGGACGACGTCTTTCAAATCGTCCTCGTCTTCAACGTCGCTAGAAATTCTCGTTTCGAGCATCGAACCCTGAAAAATGATTGATTTTTCATACTTCTGATTCGATAAAACTCACCGAAATTTTGATAAACTTCGACTTCTCCTCTTGGGTTCCTGTAGGGAGAAAAAAATATTATCAGATGAAAAAAATAAAAGAAGCTTCACAAAATCGTTTAATTTTCAAAAAAATGAGTCTGATCAGTTTCTAACAACTCACACGTACTCTGTTTTTCAAAAATCTAAAAAAAGTCAAGATTGTGATAAAATAACTTTTTTTCGTCAAATTTTAACGGTAAAGCAATTTTTCAAACAATGACCAAACTACTATGAAACATAAAAAAACTGCTTCCGAGAATTAAAAAAAAGTTGTTTTCATAGACCTCCTCATAAAAATTAGTTCGTGAAATACTATAGACCGAGTTTTCTAACAACGATCAAAAAAAAAAAATCTAAAACGCAAAAAAGTTTCAAAACATTTTTTCTTAAATTCCGTCTTCAAAATAATTTCGAAATTGAAGTTTTATTTGTTTAGAGGACTTCAAAAACAAAAAAATTTTGTTTTTTGGAAGGCGTCATGAAAAATGGGTCCTACAACGAGATGACGAAAATTGGGCGCTATTCAAAATTTTTTGGAAAAAAATGCTCAAATAATTCCAAAATTTGAATCTCGAATCATCTTTTAGGGACACGACTACCGATATTCCAATTTTAGGCATTCTTTGAAATGATTTTGAACAAAAACGGGTCATTTTGAAACCGCCAAAATCACTTTGAACACGGTATAAACCTTTAAAAAAATCCCAAATGAAATGATCCTAGAACGACCATATTCAAAACTACTTTTGCCTTTTTTTACATCTACACTCGCTCCCCCCCCTTACAAACCCACCGTTAGTCCTGCCCTTGACATCGGAGCTCAAAATGCTCTTCGGAGTGACTTTTCGGAAAATGAGACCGTGCATATTGGCGGCAGAGAGGCCAATGTTGATGACTTCCGGCGAGACGTCGAAATCCGAATTATTGCGTTCGAAACTATTGAGCCAGCGGCGGAAATCCCTGATTGTTTCATCTGAGACTGGCCTTTCGATCAAGAGTGAGGCTTGGCCGGTTCTTAACAATAATATTGTTAATTAAGGGCTTCAGAAGTTTCCAAAAACTGTAAAATGCGGCTGATGAGACTGCGCATGTACTTGAGGTCGTTTTCGCCGTTGGTCGTGAACGGGACGGATTTCCCGTCGACGTCGACGATCGCGTCGCCCAGGGCGAGGAACAACGAGGAAAGCGAGCCTGGGAGGATCTGAAGATGGTCGCATTGGGAATGGCTCGCCGAGCGGTTGTACGCGTCGTATAACCTTGTTTTCTCAGTGAAAGAAAAAAGACCGCGAGTCCAGGAATTCCAGAGTGGTCCCTATGGGGGTCAGAAAGGGAAACAACTCCTATAGAGGCCAAAAAAATGTGTCCCCTATAGGGGTAAAATCAAAGTGGTCTTTATAGGGCTATAAGTTTTGACCCTTAGCCGCCAAAGCTCAAGTGGACCCTTAGGGGTCTCTCAATTTTATTCAAAAAACGCTTGTTTTCAGTTTTCACATAGACATGCTGCTTCGCTTAGAGTCCATAAAAACTATCCACTATCATATCCCCTATAGGCGCCACTTTTGTAAGCTTTAGTGGACCCTTTATGAGTTGGAAAAGTGGTCCCTTGAGGGGGAATTCCAAGGATCCCTAAGTTTGACCGTATAGGGACCACTCTGGTGTTCCTAAATGATGGAAAAACTAGGTTCAAAAAAAGCAGCTTTAAAAATTATGCGTCCTTTCGAAAAAGATACTTTCTTTCATTAATATAATTGAATAAAAAAATAAATTTTCAAATCGACTCAAAAAAATTAAATTAATTTTTGTTTCTCAACGAAATTTCTTTTTGTCACTTCAGGCACATATTTTTTTCGATAATTTGATTGGAATTTATAAATTTTTTTCAACATTTAGAAATTTCAGAATAACAAAAATTCAAAAACTTCAGAAGAACAAAACGAATAGAAGCAAAAAAAAATTTTTTTGATCCGTGAAGAAGATTGGAAAATATCAAAAAAAAGCTTTAGAAAAATTTTTTTCGAACGTGTCTGAACCTCAAAATTTACTTATAAAAGGACTTTTTCAACTTTTGGAAGTAAACTACAGACTTCAAAAATGCACCCATGAAAAAAAAAAGGAAACCTCAGTGATCATCAACCGCCTCTTGACGTTTTTCATTGTGAACCCAATCGTGGAAATTGTTCCCATTTGCTTCGGCTGAAAAAAAAACAATTTATTCCCAATCTTTTTTGAACTTTTCGAACCTTGAACATATTAACTACAAAATACGCATGATTCAATCGAAGAGGCATCCCGAGGTTTTTCAGGCGTTCGTAGGTTGGGGGAGACGTGAAATCTCGCCGCCAAACTTCTATGATAACCTGGAATCGATTAGAGTTAACTATAACGAATAAGTTATAATATTTCGAACCTCTTCGCCTTTAGTAATCGTTGCGATGGCCTTCGCCCTGTCTTTGACACCCACCGGAACCGAGTTTACTTTCAACAAACGATCACCTGGAAACTTTTTCTCAAAATCTTACTCAACTCATTTCCTCACCTAGTATAATTCCACAGTAAAAGCTGCCAACAGATAGAAAATTCACGACCATTTCTTCATCGACTTTCATCACCTGATCTGGTGGTTTCTTTGAATCTGACTGAATAAAAACATTGTGATTATTTAAACCTAAAAGTTCAAATTACCTCAGAGATCCGAATTTTGAGTTCAACTGGCCTATGCTTCACTGATTCTGGGCAGTTTCTAATCAACGGATCCTTTCCCTTGAACTTCCTGAACAAAAAAGATACAAAGAAAAAAACTAACTAATAGCAAACTTCATTGCTTCGCCAGCGGTTGGAGTCGAAATGCTTGTTCCTTACTACGTACCATTTTTAATTTCACCGAGTGTGCGTGCATTTTTCTATTCTGTAGTTTATTAATTTATCTGCAGACAACAACTCAAAAAACGGAAAATAAATGAAAGAAATTTTCTGCAAAAACATTTGCGAGAAATTAAAATAGCGACAGTGCGCTCCGACGCACTAATTAATTTTTTTCACATTTTTGGTAACGCAGGCCGGACTTTTTCTCATACGTTTCTGAGCATTGTTATTAAGTCCTTGAGCGACACTCTTTAGTATTAACTAGATGGTCTCAGTCCGAAACGAAATCAATTCGAATAACTTCTCTCTTTATTATTATTTTTTCAAAGTTTTAATAGAAATTTATAACTCTTTGTAGACGGGGAAAAAAAATCTATCGATACTTCCAAAAGTAATTTCAGCATCCTAACCTCTGTTTTAATCATCTTGTGTTTAAAAAAATAAATTTTTACAAAATTCTAAATTGTAAAGTTTCAGAGGCGTATATGGAGTACTGGGAAAGTGATTTTGTTTTCAACGTGACTCATCGTAGTAACGAATACATCGCGAAAGCTGCAAAAGGCGGAAGTGGCACACGTGAAGAAATTGAACAGGTAAAATTTAAAAAAAAAGATATTTCAGTTCAAATTGGAAGAATATATCTATTTTCGAAAAAATGACTCCAGTTTTAGTTTTAGATATATGAAGCGTTGATGTCACTCGTTGCGAATGCTCCAAACTTGGATTGTGAGGTGAATAAAAGAAGAATTCTTGGAATCCAAATGAGTTGTCAGCTACTTCGTGCTAGTCTAGGGGTAAAAAAAAACGAAAAAAGAATATTGTGTTAAAAATGACTTCAGAGTGAAGAATTGTCGGATTCAGCGAATTTCGTTCGCACAATATCGTCTACTACTGCGTAACCTTCCAAATTTCTTTTTCCTATTTTTGGTGGTTTTTCAGAGTTTTAACGCCTGAAAATTCTTCAACATGTTCTGTTGAGATGAATCAATCTTCTAGGGACGAGTTGGACACTTTCGCCGAGAGCAGAAGGTTTTTTGTTGTTTAATTTAAACATTTAAAAACGTTAATTTCTCTAGGAAAGCAATCGAATCGACTTTGGTTACCGATTGCTCCAATCTCCCTTCGTTTTCTGATATAGCCGGGCTTGGCGAGGTTTTAATTGGATATTTTTGAAGAATGGACCTTTTTTAGGCGAAAAATGCTTTGATTGAAGCATTGGTGGACCCGATTTTGTATCCGGAATGGTTTGAAAACACGGATTTGCAGCCGTGGAAGGCTTTGTTGCTTTTCGGACCGCCGGGCACAGGTTCGTTTTCATTTTGGAAACGGTTGAAAAAGTCAATTTTTCTGAAAATTTTCGAATTCAGGCAAATCCGCCTTGGCTCAAGCCACAGTCCGACAACTTGATGCCGTTCTTTATCAAGTTTCCTCATCGGACCTGATATCCTCATGGAGCGGCCAGTCTGAAAAGCTCATTCGGGAACTTTTTGAGCAAGCCGCATCTTCTGAGAGAAGTTCATTTTTTTCTTAATTTTTCAACTTCTATTTTTTTAAATTTATAACTTCTTTTTTTCTTTTTTTGTGAATTGTATCGGAATATTTCCGAAAATTCATTACGCGGCAACACCAAATTAACGCCACGACGGAAAATGAAATGTGTTGTACGCAGTGCACACGATGCATGAAAAGCGACGCGTAAAAAGCGAAACTGAATTTTTATTGTAATTAAAGTGATTTTCTAGTTATTGTTTTTTTTTTTTTTGCAATGACGCATTAGTAAACCTAGTGTTTCTTTTCTCTTCCAGCATTATTTTTTTTCATAACTTTTCACACAGTCGACTCTGTACAGGTTTTGAAAGAAATCAAAAAAAAAATTACAAAAGCTAGATAACTAATAAATCCAGAATTATTTGAAAAAATCTTGAATCTGAAAAAATATTTAAAATTTGCATGACTCTCAAAATTTTTTTTTAAAAGATGTTTGATCAAAAAATTTTTAAAAATTTTGATTACAGTAAGTCTGTTTCGGCTCTTTAGGATAAAAGACTGGAAAAGTTTTATAGTGAGCTGAAAAAAAGGTTTCAGTTGAGTTTTGATGGAACTCTTTGTTTTTTTGGTTTCTTTGAGAGATTGAGAGTTTTGTGATCGTAAATTACTTCAAAAAAGAAAATTATCCTTAGCCGTCGTTGTATTCATCGATGAGGTCGACAGCCTGTGTCGAGAACGGTGTTCGGAAGAAGGCGACGCGAATAGAAGAGTCAAGGTTGTTACAACCATTTGCTCATGTTAGCTCACCATTTCTCAGACTGAACTACTCGTCCAAATGCAAAAACTGCAGCATTCCAAGCAGGTCATTTTATTGTGTGCCACCAATTGCCCTTGGGACTTAGATCCGGCTTTTTTAAGGAGGTTCATGATCAAAAGTCTATTAACATTTTCAAAATTGTAGGTTCGAGAAGAAAATTTACATTTCGCTTCCTGAGACCGAAGCGCGAGTCGAAATTTTGCAGAAACGATTGGAGGTTGGTTTTTCCTCGCTGTTTCAAGCCGATAAGAATGGATCAAAAATCGCTTTTCTCAAAGCCATCTAGCAGGGTTGCGCGGAAGAGATTTGCGGAACTGCAGTTGAATCAAATCAAATCATTTATTTTGTTGTTTTAGTCTGATGTAATCGACTAGGCGGTGAACAAGAACTTTAAAAGCTATAACGAACAACCGCCTTTGGCGAGCTAGAAGTCCAAACGTGTAGTCGAAAGAGTTGAAAGCATGGTCTTACGGTCCTTCGCCTCGTCCTTCTGCGCGTAGTCCATCCAGTTGCGCCTTGACGAGCTCAGAATGTAGTGGGTGGTGTAGCTGGAGCCCGGAGACCGTGCTCTAGGTGGAAGCCTCAGAATGAGAGCGACCACTTCGAGTGAAGATTTTACACGGAATCGAAATTTTGAATCGAAATTTCGAAATTTTTGAATCGAAATTTTTGAAAGTTGAATCGAAAGTTGAATCGAAATTTTTGAAAGAGAAGGTTTTTTCGTCGGAGAAAAGTTGTTAAAAGTGAAGTTGTGTGCATTTTGAAGATAAATATAGAAAAGTTATTTTTAAAAAGGGTACCATTATTTAGAAAAAGTCCGAAAACAGTTTTTACGGAACACGGAAGGTGGAAGGAAGTGCCATTTTCGGATGTTTCTAAACGATGAGAGCTTAATTAAAATAATTTTTTGATTTTTTTATCTTCCAAACACTCCTAGATTCACTATCATCAACTTTTTTACGATGAAAAAAATTTTACACCGCTGAAATTTCAATTCAATTTCTTCCGTGCAACACTGCCATCTAGCCATGTTTCGAATGCGCTCATGATTTCCGAAACCGAAAAAAACGGTCTCTATTAAGTAAGTCCATAAGTTCTTTCAAAAAAAGTTCTTAGTCATTATTTGTGTCAAACTTTTGAGCTATAATGTTTATATTTTAAAAAATTTTTGATTTCAACGTTTTCTTGACCTAGAAAACGAGCCTCGATACATTTGTGACTTTCGAATGGCTGGCCAGCATGACCGAAGGCTTCAGTGGCGACGATATCCGAAGACTTTGCAGTGAACTCGCCTACTTGCAGTTCCGGTTCTTCAAGGTTTTTACTCGAGAAAGAAAATCAGATGAATTTTTCGAGTCTACGTTCAAATATTCGAAAGCTAGAGAGCATTGGTGGACAAGAGGGCGATCAGAGAAAAAAAAAACGTATACCCTCTTATTTTTGAACGCTCTCTAACTTTTGAAGGTTCATAGTAGACTCAAGAAGTTTATTCAGATTCTACGTTTTTTTTTTTGAAAAATTCGAAAGCTAGAGAGCTTTGGTAAACAAGAGGGCGTTCACAGAGAAAAAATCGCCACCCTCTTATTTTTGAGCACTCTCTAACTTTCGAAAACTCAGCTTCTTTTTCAGCAAAAGCGACAATTCGATGCAAGTTTTGACAAGAAAAAGCCTCTTGATAGGTAACTCTTGAACAATTTTCCACTTTTTCTATGTATTTTTTCCAGAGAAGACGTCTGCTCTGTACTATTGAACTTTGTGAAAACTGTTGATGAGAAGCAACTGTCGCGATTTGAACAATATTTGCGACAATAAATATTTTTTTTTAACTGAGAAGTTTATTTGGGAGCGCTGAAAAAAATCTTTGATCTCTTTTTGAACTGCCGCTGCTTTTTCTTGCATCTTCCTTTTTTCTCATTTCCAACCATTTCTCAAGCCAATTAACATAGGTTTTTGAAAAAAACGAGCGAAAGTAAGTTGAGAAAACTAAAAAAAAACGAGCGAAAGTAAGTTGAGAAAACTAATTTCGGAAAAAAAGACGCATTTTATCAACTTTTAAATTTTTTTTTTTTCGTTCCGCTTTGCTTTCTGACTTTCTGACTTATATTTTTCACGAAGATTTTCGATTTCGCTGTCACTGGGATGAGCAGTTGATCGTCGGAATGCTCAACTTTCTAACGTGACCATTCAAAGAAGGGCAAGAATGTTTTGAGCGTCATTCTTGGCCAAAATTCGAAGGGTCCTCACAGAAAAATGTTTGAAGATGTACTTTAGAAAGGCTCAGGATGGACCAAAAACATTTATAAACTCTCGTTGGATCATCTGGGTAGTGAAGAAGGACATCAGTGGAGGATGGGTTCAGCTCAAAGCTTTCTGATTTCAAAAATTGCCGAGAAACCACGAATAAACCGAAAAAGTTTTTTGATGGAAAAACGAAGAAAAATAAACTTTTTCTTTGAGGAAAATAAATTTAAAACTTGAAAAAACACGCAAAGCTGAAAGTTCCATGTATATAGACTAACTACATGAATTTTCAGCAGATTTCGCTGCGATCTGAAATTTTCATGAGATGGTCAACTTCAGGCGCTTTGTGACCAACTTTGTCCCTCAAAGAAAAACTCCAAAGCAGTTGAATGTAACTTTTAAAACGTCTGTTTTCCGGAAATGTAAAAAAAAAGTTGTTTTTTCTTAATGAAAATGCTTTGAAATACCGTTGTGTGTTTAAAAAAAAAGTTTGGAGTCGATTCTGTAGCAGATGAACCCTTCAGTATCGATCAAATTGAAGAATTGCATTCCGTGATGCCACATTTCAGATCTCCAGATGACACTGAGCTTCAATCTCAACTTCTTCGAAAAATGAGTCCAGATTTGGAATCAGTTAGAAATTCTGAACTAGATGGACACATTTCATATGAAATCGCGGAAAGAAATACCAGAGAGCCCAAAAATGAAAAACTTTAGACCCGCAAAAAAAAAACGTGAACCCTTTGGGAAGGCGTCATTTTTAAAATCGAACGCTTACAAAAACCACGTGGCAACTCATTTCTTCTTTTATGACGCGGGATCAAGCATCATTTCTGCTACTGTCACGACGCCGTCTTGCTACTAAACTCTACGTCAAGATGAGTTTTAAACTTCCAAAAAAAAAAAAATCTAAATTCCAAAATAGTTCTCTTAGTAGTAAGCGCTAGTAGAATAGGCCCGTGGGACTCCCGGAGTGCCGATCCTTCTTGCTTCCAAGTCGGATACGCAATGTCACGCCGAAGCCCATTCCTGTGGCTGAAGCATAAACTGTTGGCAGCGCGATGCTGACAAAGCGATGATGGGACCCCCACGGAAAATGCCGTCACGGCCTTCGGCGCCTAGGAATCTTAGTTTTGACAAGGCCGAGCGGAGCTCTAGCGCCCCGCCTAGTTAGTTCTCCTGACTGGATAAGACTTCCCTAACTTACTTGAGACTTTACATAGTTAATCAGCCAAAACATTGCAATTCGAATAACTCATTGACTTGCTTTTTCAATTTTGAAACTATTGCAGGAAGCTTTCAACGATCTTCTGATCAGTTCATGGAGGATCGACGAAAAATAAAGCAGTTTGATTTCTAAAAATTTTTTGTTCAATCATTTTTCCTTCAGGAAGAACGAATGAAGTTCACGATCAAAGAAAAGGAAAAACGAATAATCTATTAACGACTACTGGAAAATATTTACATGAGGTTTGGAATTTTTCGAAAAAACAATTCATTTTTTTTATTTATCACGCTGTATCTGGAATTCTTAAAATCATTAAGTATAATTTTTTTCATTTGATTAAAATGAAATTGTAACCAGTGTTATCCTGTAACGTCAGGATTCGGGACCCAACTTTTTGAGCTATTTCCTCCAACCGTAGCCGGGTTACGGTAGGTAGGTCGACACCTCCTTTTTGCGCAACTTTAACGGGAAATAAATATTGAAAGCAGGGTGACCAAAAAACCAAAATTGCGAAATTTTTGCAAAATTGCGTGCGTTCCCTATCAATTAATATACAACTTGCATAGAAAAACTCCTCAACTCTAAGATACGCAGGTGCCTACCGTAACCCGGCTATGGTTAAAGGAAATGGCTCAAAAGTTTGTGTCCGCAATCCTGAAGTATATATGATAATGTTAGTTGGAATTTCATCATGATCAAAAAAATTTGTATTGTACTCGGTTTTTGAAAAAAATTGAAAGAAAAAAAGTTTTTTTGAAAAAAATTATTGAAAATTACAAAAAAACAGCGTGTTATTATCCTCGATTAACGCATATGAAAGTTTTTTATCTTTGAAATTTTAGTTATCGCGATGAAAAGAAGTCCGTCTCCCTCCATTTGCTGCGACGTTTTGAAACAAAATGCGTGGCGGAAGAAGTTCCAACTGCAGGCTAGACATGACCAGGTACCAGCCCAAAGCTCTTAAAAGCAGCTGAGGGTTTTTTATTCTGTGTTGAGTTGCAAAGGAAAAAATAAATAAAAGTGGGCTAGCCAGGCTTGTGCAAGGCCTGGATTTTCAACCTATCGGCCTCCTTCCATTTCCATAACTTTTGATAGACTTTAATGAGACAAGTGAGACGTAATTTTTTGGTAAAAATTTTGATTTAGGATGGCAATTTTTCGAAGGAGTTTGAAAATTATTTTTCGAAGTCTGGCTTTGTCCGAGCCGGCGCAAGCTTCATTGTTTTGGGCTTCAATTGGTCGGACCTCTTTAATGCAAATCGGACTCGTCCCGGACTTTTCTTGGAATTTCTAGTAAACTTTGAGAGGGTTGATGCCGTCCAATGAGTTATTAGAAATGCTCAGAAACGTCCGGGGAGCGTACGGTTTGAGGTACCGAGGTCGAGGCTGGACTTGTTTTTGCGAAGAGTCTCGCACGGGCTTGGGCCAGGCCAAGCTTCAAAAAATTATTCACCGAAAAACGCTCATTTTCAAATTCGTAGTTTCTGTTGAACTTTAACTGTAATGCCGTGTTCAAAGTAATTTCGGCGATTTCAAAATAAACGCGTTATTCGTTTAAAATGATTTCGGGAAATAGGCGAAATTGGTATTCTGGGAAGGTAAGTCCTACAACGATATATCGTTGGATACGCATTTTTACGGTGAGTTTTACGCGCGAATTCGAAATTTCAGTAGAAAATGCCCAAATAATTCCAAAATTTTGAGTTCCCGCGAAGAAATTACGGTAAAAATGCATATTTAACGATATATCGTTGTAGGACTCATTTTTTTTCTTGCCATTCTCGGAATAGCAATTCTGCCTATTTCGTGAATTCATTTTGAACGGATAACGCGTCTATTTTGAAATCGCCGAAATTGCTTTGAACACGGCATAAAAAAAACCAGAAACATGATTTTTGCTGCAAAAAGAAGGTTGATGTTCTACTTGAAGAAAACCTTAGCTTTTCGAGCCAGTTTTGCTTGAGGCTTCGCTAAGCCCAGACCGGGCTCAAAGAATGACTTAGACCATTAGACTGAAGAGCCGGTCCTCGCACAAGCCTGTCTCGGCCCTCGGTAACGAAAACCGAACGAGCTTCGGACTTTTCTGAGCAGTTCAAAGGACACCATTGAAGTGGTCACTAGAAATGCGTCCAGTTTGCGTTATAGCCGATTCACGGCTAGCTTGGGACACAAAAAGGAGTGGCAAGTCTGTGGTCTCCAGCAACCAGGCACTGACTTTTTTCTCATCTTGGCAGGACCCATTTTTCGATGGCCCAAGCCAGCCGTGAATTAGCTCTAGGTTTTTTTGCAGATAATGACACCTTTTTTTCTGATTTTTTGTTTCTTGACTCTTATTCGGTCTTTCTTAACATTCTCATTGATAGAAAAATGCTCTTTTTCGGTGTCGTGAGTGAAATGGTACAGAATATAATGTTGCCTTTATAATCTGTGCAAGTGCCAACTTTTTTCTCAGTTCCAATACCAAATTATCCCAGTCTTTATCCGACATTCAACAAGTCAAAGCGACTCTTCTCTGTTTCAGGGCTGATTAGCTAGCCTTTGCGAAAGAGCCTTGAAACGTTGAAATCTACCAAAATTCATTCGGCCACTTGTGAAAGTTCATTTCTTTAACTACGGAATCCAAAATGCTCAGGTTGTTTTTGTTTGAAAAAATTTCCCCATCTTCATGAAAATATTTTCTTTGATGAAATTATTATTTTGATAGATTTGGTTCAGTTTTCCAGGGTGTTTCGCTAATTGTACGTTTCAAAGAACGCGTTCCTCCTCCAAAAAAAAGTTTTCAGTTTCTGTTCTTTTTCCAAAATCGTCTCTTCCATGCAACCCTGGAGCACACGAGGACCGATCCATGTCGAAACGGGTCTAATTATTTCAAGGCATCGACGGTTTTGAGTAGAAAAAAGAAGACACGAATCGGCCATGTCAGGGCGTTGCTAGTGACCACTTTAGTAGCGTCAGCACTCTTAAGTGATCCCGTAATTAGCCCCGAAACGTACTCTTTATGTCACCGAGATGCAAGTATTTTCGAAAAACAAGAGCACGTTTATTAGCGCACCAAATTTGCTCCAAACCAGTACTAGTTTTTATATTAGAACGATCTTTTTGCTTAAAAACAATCTTTTTTTTTTTTGATGATATACATCAATATGATCCACATCAATATCCTATACACTTTTCTCACCTTTTCAATAATGAAAGAAGAACTTTTTTAAAAATCTCTTTCCATCGGACACATCGCCCGTCCGCCCTACTATGTCCATTTAAAATGAATAAATGTATCTCGAAAGGCAGAAAGAGAACGCCCTTTAGAAGAATCCACAATGAAAAGACGAAAGGAGAACAATGAGATCGCGGGAAAAATTGAGCAGACGGATGACGCTTCCAAATCGATAGGAAGAGAACAGAAAAATATGAAGATACAGTAAAAATTGGGGGCAACGAGTACATCTGAAATTATTTCAACTTAGAACTGACGAAAAGTTCTTTCAAACGCACCAAAAGCCGGAAAAAACGTCCATTCCGCTCAATTATGAGCTTGATTCAAAATATGCTCCAGTGGGACGAAACGATCAAAAGAGCACGAAAAGAGGCACCCGTCGTTTAATCATACACTTACCGCATTCTTACAAGCCCAGGAAAACATTCTATCCATTCCGCTCAAGGATAGGTCTACCACTGAGTTCCTTTCACCAAGCTTCCACTCAAATCCTCATTTCTTCTTATCTGTTCTGAATTTCAGTGAGACCCACCGACTACTTCAAGTTTCAAAAACTGATGCCGTGCTCAAAGTACTTCCGCTAAACACAAAATAGCCGTTAGAGATAGAAAAAAATAACAAAATTTTGGAGGATAAGAGGCCATTTTGCATTTCGCGGAAACTACTCTGAACACGGCATAAGCTTTTCCTAACTCTCAAGGATAACTGCCAGAAATTCTTGATGATCTGCCCGACGCCGATCGTAATCTTCCTTATTAAGAAAAATTTTGAATTAGAGACCACAAGCCACCTCTAGAATATGCACACTACTCGTTGGAATTTTCATTTTTCAAGCCAAAAAAGAAGGAACTGCAGGCCATTTTTCAAAATGACTTGAATAATTTTGTCACTCTTTAATAGAAGACATTGTCAATAATTATAACCCGTTTAGTTCCTAGACAGAGGTTCATTAAAAAACCAGTTATGGCCAGAAAGCCCTCGTGCCGTTCAACAGAAAGCGGAATCTGCGAACTCCTTATTGAAATTTATACTTACCGATTAAACACATCATGAAATAGTCAAACAATTTTAGCTTATAAAAAAACATTGAGTTCAAGCCAAGTTTCGACGATATTTTTAAGCCACTAACCAGCCAAAGATTTGGTACTACGGCCATAGTTTCATGGTTCGAAGTTAATCCACGGCTGACTGAGCCATCGGAAAACGGGTCTTGACACGATGTGTAACCAGACACAAGCTCGCCGGGATTTGTTTATACTCGCTCCCGCACGCTTTCTCTTTGAATCAGTTCGAGCTTTTCTGGACCGTTTTCGAATCGGTTATCGTTTCTGAGAGGTTGTCAGAACTGAGCCTAATGTTTTGACATGATGATTTTGAACAACTTTTTCAACAGTTTTCGATTAGGTATCGAATAACTACCCAAAAACAAGGTCAGGGGGAAGTTTTCGCTCATTTATCTCTCTTCTAATCAAAAATTAATCATCATTTGATTTTGGCAAATAAAACTAAACTCGATACGAGGCCTATTTTCAAACAAATAGAGAAAAATTTTGATGATCATAAACGGCTATTGCAGCGTTCAAAAACGAGATAGAGCAGGTTTGACGCAAACTCAAGCACGCCCACTCGCACGAAATCTTTCAGAAATATTCAAAAAAACGCCTACTTTTGGGCTTCTCATCATCGTTCGAATTTGTGCGCTGTCAGATTTTTCACAGCGACGGTTTTTTTGGACTCTCAACAACATATCAAAAATTAGATTTTGCCGTCCAAGAAAGACATTTGAACGAAAAAAGTGATACTTGCTCGTTTTTGTAAACTTCATTTCAGTGTGGTGAAGAGGCGGGGCTTCGCACTCCCTATTTTGAAGTCGTTGAAGTTCAATGATTTTGATACAATGATGAGGATTCTATGAACTTTTTTCTTTGGATTCCTCTGGAATTTGCTACTATGTCCTGTCGAAGTCACAAACTTGATGCGACCAAAATTTTGAATTCCTAAATACAATTAACCTAGACTCTCTCTCTCTCCAAACCGGAAAAGTTTCCTGATTTCCCGTCTATATTTTCCATGACTCTCATGGTTTTCTACTGAAAACTCAGCTTTCCAATATTCTTCTTGAATTTAGATTTTCTCCCGAATTCTTTCCCAATATCAGTGAAGCCAATCACCCATGAATAAAAGTTTGAAAATCGAAACTTATGTTTTGAAAAGCCACGGAGGGTTAGCGAACCCGTTTTTGAAAAGAAGGGAGTTTTATCCTTCTGTGAGGAAGCAATGTCTACCGAAACAAGAAGAACGATTGGTGATTTGAAAGTTTCGAGCACTCAAGAAATTGGGACTGTGCAGATTTTCGAAAGCCATGTCTCCCTTCTTAATATAGTTTTTCGGAAACTTGCTCTACCCAGCCAGGCTTCCCTCAAGGAAACATATAGCTGGATGAGGATCGTTCCATCACGCACGACAAAGGGGTTGTAATGCATGTCTTTCAATCTAGCACGGGGGAATGTGGGGGGGGCGGAGAGGGGGCTCGAGTGCTCTCTACTTTGATTACGAAAAACTTTCTTCTGAGTCAGTAGAAAAACTTCTCCACAGAAAGAAAAACTACCTGCTCTAGGAGTTTTTCGCGAGACCACAGTTATCTTGTTCTCTCTCTTTTTTTCTCTTTATCTCGGTGTTAAGTTCACCGAGATAAGACAAGATAACTGAAGCTCAAAACTCGCTAGAGACTTTTTTGAACGTTTCTTTTTTAAGTATAAGTTTCAACCCCCCAAACTTTTATTTATTAGTGATTGAAATTACTGATATTGGGAAAGAGTCCGGCAGAAAACCTCAATGCAAGAAGAGTACTGAATTGCTGAGTTTTCAATAGGAAACCATAAGAGTCATGGGAAATATAGAGGGGAAAATCAGGAAATTTTTCCGGTTTGGAGAGAGAGAGTCTAGGTTAATTGTATTGAGGAATTCAAATTTTGGTCGCCTCAAGTTTGTGACTTCGACAGGACATAGTAGCAAATTCCAGAGGAATCCAAAGAAAAAAGTTCATAGAATCCTCATCATTGTATCAAAATCATTGAACTTCAACGACTTCAAAATAGGGAGTGCGAAGCCCCGCCTCTTCACCACACTGAAATGAAGTTTACAAAAATGAGCAAGTATCACTTTTTTCGTTCAAATGTCTTTCTTGGACGGCAAAATCTAATTTTTGATATGTTGTTGAGAGTCCAAAAAAACCGTCGCTGTGAAAAATCTGACAGCGCACAAATTCGAACGATGATGAAAAGCCCAAAAGTAGGCTTTTTTTTGAATTTCATCGGAAGAGTTCGTGCAAGTGGGCGTGCTTGAGTTTGCGTCAAACCTACTCTATCTCGTTTTTAAACGCCGCAATAGCCGTTTATGGTAGTCAAAATTTTTCTCTATTTGTTTGAAAATGGGCCTCGTATCGAGTTCAGTTTTATTTGCCAAAATCAAATGATGATAACTTTTCGATAAGAAGAGAGATAAATGAGCGAAAAAATCCCCCTGACCTTGTTTTTGGGTAGTTATTCGATACCTAATCGAAAACTGTTGAAAAAGTTGTTCAAAATCATCATGTCAAAAAATTAGGCTCAGTTCTGACAACCTCTCAGAAACGATAACCGATTCGAAAACGGTCCAGAAAGGCTCGAACTGATTCAAAGAGAAAGCGTGCGGGAGCGAGTATAAACAAATCCCGGCGAGCTTGTGTCTGGTTACACATCGTGTCAAGACCCGTTTTCCGATGGCTCAGTCAGCCGTGGATTAACTTCGAACCATGAAACTATGGCCGTAGTACCAAATCTTTGGCTGGTTAGTGGCTTAATAATATCGTCGAAACTTGGCTCAAACTCAATGTTTTTTCATAAACTAAAATTACTCGACTAAATCACGTTTTTTTTCATCTGAAAGTATAAATTTTAATGAGAAGTTCGAAGATTCAACCTCCTGTGGAACATCGCGCGGGCTAGTTTTCTGGCCATAACTGTTTTCTTAGTAGTCCCTTCATTCAAGAACTAAACGGGTTATGATTGCTGACAATATTCTCTATCAAAGAGAGACAAATATATTTGAGTCATATCGAAAAAATTGCCTATGGGTCTCTACTTTTTGGCTAAAAAAAAATAACGAGAAGTTTGCATATTCTAGAAATGGCTAGAGGTCATTACATAAATAAAGAAATAAAATCACGATCGGCGTCGGGCAGATCATGAAGAAAAAGTTGCAATTATCCTCAAGAATGGAAAAAAAACCTTAGTTTTGAAATTGAAAAAAGCCTATGGGTTTCAATAAAGTTCAAAATAAATAAGAAAGACATTGAGAACTTAGAAGGAAAAATAAGTGAAATTAACTCCGTGGGACCTATCCTTTTGCTGAATAAATAAATAATTCTTCTAAACTTAAAAAAATGCGAGTAAGATAACGAGTAAACAAAATGAGGCCTCAATTCGGCCTTTTTTCAGACGCATTCGACGAGGGGCATGCTAAAAACTTATGTTTACGAAAAAAAAATCAACTGACGACGATTTTTTTAAATTTTGTTCCAGTCCATAAAAATTCTCTTACAACTAATCTACAGAGTTTGGTCGAGAATGCTGTCAAATCTGAATTTTGAAGTGAGATTTTTTAATAAATCAAACAGTCAAACATGCTTCTTAATTATTGAAATTAGAGAATAATCATTCTTAAAATATTTTGAGTTAAAGTGAATTATTTCATAACCTCTTTAGTTTCATAATAAAATAGCTTTCAACTTAAATTAATTTGACGCTCAATTCGCAACGATTCTCGCACATTTCAGCAACCTTCATGTTCAGAAACACTTTCAGTTCGATTTTTTACAGACAGAAACTATAGGAAGATTTTCAAAGCTTGGTCGCAGATTTGCAAAATTTCCCAAAGAGAATTCCAAACAAAAGTTCTTCCATGATTGGACCAAAAAAAAATTTTTCAAGCTAGACTCGTACTAAAAAGTCTTGAAAGACATCTACCGAGACTCATCAAATCAAAGTCCATTGAGAAATTAAAGGAATAAATTTGATGTGCAAACATACTCAGTATCCTCCCTCAATTTTCCTGAGGATCCTTTCGAACTGGACGTCCGTCACAACGCGTCCTTTCTGGATGGCCTTCAGTGACGTCATCGCCGAGGAGAGTCGGCCAACCCGGCGCAACTCTTCGTCCCCGGCGCCACCGTCCGCAAGCTTGGCCTCCAACTCCTCTCTGATCTTGACGAGGAGTTGGGCCGCGGAATGACCAGCGAGGGCCGGTGGCACACGGCGGACGGCTTGGCCTACGCCCAGGCCCCTGAGCCGTCTCGAGGCTCGCTGAGCGACCGGCCTGGGACGCTGAAACAAGTTCTTTTTATCAACTGTTCCAACTCAAAAAAGCAAAGCTCATAAGATACTATCGAAATCCACGAAACTCCAATTTTCGAAAAGAAAAAGGGCTCAATGTCTAAGACACTTGGCAGGTTGAGATTTTAGGGTCTTCAGTCAAAAAACATTTCAGATTATTTCATGGATTTTTTGTCAACTAAAAATAGCTCTCGTCGAAAAAAGAGGCGAAATCTTGCTTTGAAAATGCGCTCTACAGATCAATGTCTATCAAAACCTGAAGCCTCTTCAAAAAAAAATTTCTTAGCCTTGAATCTGATCTCATTGAAAAAGGGCTGGAAAAACTAAGTAAAACAAGAATTTTAAAATTTTGTTAGTTACCTGGCCTGCGCGATGTTTTCGGGCTTGACCAAGGCCGCCAGCACATGTTGCAGCTTGTTGAGCAGCTGCGGCGGGCTGGGCTGCTGGACCGGCCTGGTCGTCGGCCTCCTCATCCTCGACCACTTCTCCGTCTTCATTTCCGTCCTCCTTCTCCTCTCCGTTTGCCTCATTTCCAGTCTCTTCGGCTTCTGGGACTTCTTCATCCTATAATTTCACCATCAGCTTTTCAGAAAGATCTGAGATCTCCAAGATGAAACTTAACTTGTCTCAAATGTTCCTTATATTTTTTAATAACTAAGATTTTCAAAGTTTCCATTTTCAAAAGATCCGAAAACCTTCGATTCACGACAAATTGGACTGATTGAAGTCTAAAGGAATGAGAAAAATTGCTGAAGCTTTAAATAGAAATGACGTGAAAATTCCTTCTCTTCCCAATCTCATCTTTCACGTCTACTTCAAAGTAAAATTTTCAAAATTATAAAAAAAGCTGGAATATTCTACATGAAACCTAATCACCAAATCGATCAAAAAATAAAGCTCATAGTTTCAAAAGTCGAGCCTTTTGAGGCCCTGAGATTTTCACAAGAAAAACCCGTGGAAGACAAAGTTTTTTGAATATATTTTTAATGTTTAAACCACCAGTGGAAAAGGTACTGGATAAGAAACCTGGAGAGGGAGGATCTCGGCGGCATCTTCGACTGCTTCAACGGCGAGGGGTTCGGTCTCTTCGGCACGCGGAGCTTCGGCCACATCATCTTCTTCTTCTGGAAGCTCCAGAAGATTGCGTCGAGCCCACGCCAGGGCGATTCTTTCCCGCGCGTGTTGTCCAAGAAAGAATGAATCCGAAGAGTCGGATGAGCCGGTCTTAAAGAACTTTTTTTAGACATCATTAATCGAACTAAACTGGTTATTGTTTTTTTCAAGGAATATTCACTAAAAAAACTTATATCTCGCCAAAGTCCGTGTTCCGGAACTTTATCAAAATTCCGAATTTCACCTATTTCCAGATATGAGAGGTTTGTGATTCTGGCAAGGAATTTTTTTGTAGTGAAATCGACTTTTTTTCAGACTTTTTGTTGATCCTTTTCATTTTTTTCAAAAAGATAAGTCGAAGTTGATAAGAAAGAAAATGCTATTTTTCTTAAATTACTTAGACTTAGGTTAGACTTTTTGGGTTTCTTAAGTGTAGTTTTAGTTTTGTTTCGAGTTTTCAAATCACGAAGAACTCCCAATGCTTACAAAAATCTCAAGAAGCCAGAAGACGAAAAGTGAAAATTTGAAAAACTAACCTCTTCATCAAATTCCTCAATCGATTCGAGGTCGAAGAGTTCATAGACATCCTCAAGCTCTTCCGGCCAAGGCGCCTTAAATGCATTTAAGAAGAAGAATTTTTCGGAAAGCCCTTCCATTTTGAAGCTCAATTTGATTTGATTTCTTTTCTTTTCACCTAGGACACAGAAAAGTGATGGCGAAGTTTCTTAACTTAAAAAAATTAATATTTACCGAGTCCATTCACCTCATAAATTTATTGAGACAATTGACCTCAACTCATTTTTTTCCGGCTTCCAATTTAAGGAAAAATCTCATTTTTATTTGATTTTTTTGAAGAACGAGAAGAATTGGACAAACTTGAGACCTACAAAAAAATATTCGGGATTGATTAAATTCCTCATACTCAAATATTACAAAAATCTGATTTCCAAGGCCTCGAAATTTCGAAGTTTATGAACCTTCTTTAATTCGCATCAATCAGGTTGAATCGATATACTAAGGAAATTGAGATCTTCAAAGTTATATAAATTCTTTGGATTGGTTATGATAGGAAAGCTTGAAAAAAGGACAGAAAAAAATTTAGGGGAATCTTTTCGAGGGATTGAGAAGAACAGCTTGGACTTCAAAGCCAAGTAAAATGAATATGTGAATAATAAAGCAGAGAGTATAAAATTACCGATGATGAAGAGCTGGAGGACGTCGACTCTTCTCCCTCTTCTTGATCCTCTTGTCTGGGGTCCGGCTGCGGTGACTGGCGCTGAATCAATTTCGTTTTTTTCTTTATTAGTTCAACAGGTTCTTATTTTATTTGAGCCTAGAAATCTTCAGAGTTTTAGATCATCCATCAGAAGTCAGTTTTAGAATAATTTGTTCTAATCTTCAAGTGATATTTTCAAGTGACAAGTGAAGTGATCTTCGAGTGATTCTTTCTTTTTTTCGGTTTTTCGATTAGTGGCAAGTTATCGAACTGTTTTCGAAACTTCCCCGTATTATGAAAAAAAGGGAGTTCCACTAAAACTGAACGACAGGTGGAAAAGAAACAGAAGACTAACAGAGGCTGGGGAACTCTCCAAGTCGAGGAGTTCCTCCTCCAATCGCCGTTCGTCTTGTCGTCTTTCTTCTTCATCCGGGGCCATTCTCATTTCATCCATGTCTTCATCGAGCCTTTCGGCCTGAAACAAATCGCTCAGAAAATCCAATATGTGCAGTGTTGGCCTAGCTTTGCCCTGTTCTCTGATCTTTTCCCAAACTTTTTTAGTCAAAATTTAAATTTTTCGTTTGCATCTCATATAACCCAGAAGTCTCTCGTTTTCGTAAGCCTTAAAACTCAAAGCGATGCGAAATTCGCCTCATATTTACTTTAGTTGGATGAATACTGTGATTGACTAACAGGATTTCCGAGATCATAACCAATGTTAGATTTATTGTGACAGAGAAAATAAAAATTGGCAAAGGACTGCGTGGACCTTTTTTTTCTTTTGGTATAAGCAAGGTGTTAACACGCTGTCTCCGTTATTCTCAAAAATTTCTAAAAGCAACGGGTACAATAAAAAAAAATATTTTTTGATTTGGATGAAACTTCACCCAGTGTGATACCCCATCATCAGAAATGCGGACCCAACTTTTTTTGAGCCATTCCCTCTTACTGTAGCCGGGTTACGGTAGGCAGGTGGGCACCTGCGTATCTCAGTATTGAAGAGTTTTTTTACTAGGCGAGTGATATATCAATCGATAGGTAATCCAATTTCAAGAACTTTTTACAGTACATACCATCTTGGGTTACGGTCGAAAAAAATTTTTGAGTTACGGTACTTTTTTTGTGTCTGCCGAGTCAGTTTTTTTCGACCACCATGAGCTTGAGCCAGGAGATCCATTCTTCCTAACTTCTCAAAAGATACCTTATGAGAAGCTGTACAAGCTGGTACTAGTTTGAAAAAATCCTAGGTGGACCATCATTTCGAAAAATCGCCCCGAAGGCGCGCAATCGTGGTCTTGCGGCGGCCAAGTGGGTGAAGTCCATGATGCCGGACGGCTCATTATTCACAGATCCATTCCAATCTTTGTTTCCATTTTACTCATAGATGTCTATTATTGATTTTTATTTCAATTTGAGATGTTTTCGGGTTGACCATCATTTCGAAATTTCATTTTGAACCCAAATTTGGCCTGGAAAGGGCCGACACGGCTTTTTCCACGGGATCCCTGACTTCGTATGTGACCGTTCTCAACTTTTTTCTTACTTAAACATGAACGAGAGTGTCTGAACAACAGTTTTATAACAATCGGAAACCCTTTTGAGAGGACCATCATCTCGAAATTTCATTTTGAATTTCAATAGATTTTGCTGTAAATGATAAAAACTTCAAATAGGGAAACTAAGCCGATATTTGAGTTCAAAATGAAATTTCGAGATGATGGTCCTCTCAAAAGGGTTTCCGATTGTTATAAAACTGTTGTTCAGACACTCTTGTTCATGTTTAAGTAAGAAAAACGTTGAGAACGGTCACATACGAAGTCAGGGATCCCGTGGAAAAAGCCGTGTCGGCCCTTTCCAGGCCAAATTTGGGTTCAAAATGAAATTTCGAAATGATGGTCAACCCGAAAACATCTCAAATTGAAATAAAAATCAATAATAGACATCTATGAGTAAAATGGAAACAAAGATTGGAATGGATCTGTGAAAAATGAGCCGTCCGGCATCATGGACTTCACCCACTTGGCCGCCGCAAGACCACGATTGCGCGCCTTCGGGGCGATTTTTCGAAATGATGGTCCACCTAGGATTTTTTCAAACTAGTACCAGCTTGTACAGCTTCTCATAAGGTATCTTTTGAGAAGTTAGGAAGAATGGATCTCCTGGCTCAAGCTCATGGTGGTCGAAAAACTGACTCGGCAGACACAAAAAGTACCGTAACTCAAAATTTTTCGACCGTAACCCAAGATGGTATGTACTGTAAAAGTTCTTGAAATTGGATTACCTATCGATTGATATATCACTCGCCTAGTAAAAAAACTCTTCAATACTGAGATACGCAGGTGCCCACCTGCCTACCGTAACCCGGCTACAGTAAGAGGGAATGGCTCAAAAAGTTGGGTCCGCATTTCTGATGATGGGGTATCACACTGGGTGAAGTTTCATCCAAATCAAAAAATATTTTTTTTTATTGTACCCGTTGTTTTTGAGAATAACGGAGACAGCGTGTTAAACTATAAAAATGACAAAGGATGTGAAAAAGCAATCATTTCGGTTTTTTAGAGCCGTAGCGCAACGGGTTGTGTGCCTGTCTACGGTCCACAGGGTCACAAGTTCGATCCCCGTCTCTACCCAACCAAGAGGTTCAAGAAATTGTGGCAATGGGAACCAAGGCTACAAGGCATACACAAGCCGTAGGAAGAATAATTCAGTTTTTTTCTGATTTAAACTTTTCACTGGTATTATTTTTGAGCCTTGGAGCGATATTTTTTTTGAAAAATGAACTTCCACAGATTCTAACACAATGTTCGATGAAATTTTTTGAAAGAATGAAAACCAACATCGACAGCCTCAGAACGACTGCTTTTCCTCTCGGGGCCTTCTGCACCATCTCCTTTCCTCTTCTCAGCTGAACCCCCGGGTCCTTGGAGGGCGCGCTGAATTTTGTTGATTATTTTATTTTTTGGCAAACATTTTTATCTAAAAATCATAAGTAACAACTGCGAGAATTTCACTTATTCATGCGCTCTTCGGATAAAGAAAACTCGAATTTTTCTCTCCACACTTTTTCTTGCACATCTTGAGCATCTTCGAAACGCTTTGAAAAATTGAATCGATCTAACATTTTGCTTCTAACGATCAGGTTTTATGAATTCCTGGTCAAGATGGTTACAAGTTTCATGAGAAGCTTCGTTTCATTTTTTACGTATTTATTTTTTTCCCCAAACTGACTTTCGGCGGCTGCGCGGAGCGGCACTCTCCCATTCTCCTTTTGCGCGCCGTTATGCCGAAACATGCCCTCGTGGACGGCTGTAAATTTTACTTTTTCTTCTGTTTTGTTAGAAATCTGGACAGAAAATTTGATTTTCCTCAGCGCTATATTTTGCCTATTTTTAACGTCCGAATCTCGTAGCTCTCTAATTTTTTCTTCATATAGAAATGAAAAATGAATACTTCTACTTCAATTGAAAAGGTCTTGACTGCCGAATCATCTTGAAAACAGCCTTTTTTGTCCTACTCAACCTTTATCGGTCTTATACTGTTCAACCAAGTTCAAATGTATCATTTTTGCGAACGGTACAAGAATGGTATGGTAGGAATGGTAGAATTTCGCGTAATTTATGATTTTTCAACTGAAAAATAAGAGAGGTAGAAGACGTCTAGTTTGCATTGTTCTTAAAAAAAAATAACTGGACCAAAAAAAAACTTATTGGAATCGGAAAACTTAACACTGTTCGAGTAAAGTTAGGAAAGATTTCACTACCTCAAGAGCTTTCATTTTCAAGTTGTCTAGTTAACTTTTCTGAAAAAAACGGACCTGGGGGGGCTCAGCTCCTGCTTCTCCTTCTTCTTCTTCTCCTTCTCCTTCTTTTTCCTTCTCAGTTTCCTTTTCTTCCTTCTTCTTTTCTTCCTTCATTTCGCCATCCGTTTCTTCAACCTCCATGGAGTCTCCGTCTGTGACGGCCTCGCCACTTTCCATCTTAATCAAACTTTTCAGTAAAGACATGGAAATATTTTCCGATTTTTGTCTACGGAACTTGAGTTTTGACAATTCTCTTCAAGTTCACTTTCACCATCAGAAAAAAGGTTATCAGCCAAGTTGTTAGCGGAAAATTTCTCGCTGTTTGATTTTTTCGAAATAAGATCTAGATTCGTTTGAGCAAAAGATACAAGTCTCACATTCTATCAACGGAAATGTTGAAATGAAAAAGCAAATAATTTTCAACCTTTGGAAAATCTGTACTTTGAATAGTGACCACTTGGCGGAGGTCCAGCTGTTTCGGTTTCTATTATTTTTTATTCCGGATACAAAGGCCACTTAAAAAGAAATAAACACGATTTTTTTTGATTTTAGTTCGAAGTTTGAATATTCCCATTGTTTCTTACTCTAATAAACTCCTTTTCGAGCATCTTGTCGAAATATGGAGAAATCAGAACATCAAGTTTCTTTTAAAAAGAAGAATCGATTTACAAGATTTTAGGTTTCCATGTTCACTTTTTTCTGAGCGTTTCTTTTCCTCTTCTACCATGCAAAACCCGGGAATATGTGTGTTTTGAACTTGGAAATGTTGAAAGAGAGCCAGAAAACTAACCGTATTTGTCGGTTCCTCGATCCCATTTCTTTCTTGTGCTTCCCGGGACCTCGCGGTTCCCTCTCCAATATCTGCCATCTGTAAAATCATGATCAAAAAGATACAATCGAATTGATTCTTGGGCCTCGATCCTATTCATAACTTTTAAAATCTCGATTTTCTTTTGGAAATATTTCAAGTCCCTCTGACTTATTCGATTCATTTGAGACATGGATCGATCAAATCGAAACAGTAGATCCAACATAAGTCTGTTTTCATGTTGGGAAAATAGACGAAGACGCGGTTACAAGTGGAAAAAGATTCAAACGGATCTTCTCAAAAATTTTTCGGTCCTACAGAAAATAAAAACACTGATTTCTGGCTGAATTATCAGTTTTTCCAAGAGTGGAAATTTGTTGGAAATCTGGAGCCTTGGCAAATGTTCGAGGTTTTTTTTTGCTCTCCAAGAAATCAGAATGCAATCTTTTCGAACTAAGAACTGCTTAGAAATTATCGAAATGAACCATTGTATTCATGTTTTAATTCAATTTTGAGCAATTTATTGAATTTCCAGTGGTCTTAGGGACAGTTATTAATTGAAAATTTCCGTTTGAAATAAATCTGAAATCAAAAGAAAAAAATCGAACCTGATGGGCCAAGGCGCCGGCAACCAGTGTGAGCTCAAGGCGCTGTAAAATAAAAATTTTTTTTTTCAAAATTATCTTTCGTCCTATTAGGTGTGAAGGTTTTAGGACTCTCAAAGATTGTCAGTTTTCGAAATTATCACTGATTTAATTGACATTAACTTATCATACTAGGTTCTGAACGAGTCTTTTCAAGCTCATTTCGCTCCTTGGGAGCTCTATAAGATACCAAATCTGCCTATTTTCTGGGTCTTTTCCGAATCGGTTTATTCCAAAAGCAGTTGAGGATTGCAGAAACTTTTCGGCTAAAGCTGATCTCGAAAATCGAGTTTCACTATCCCTCATTTGATTCAATTTAAGATCGTTTGAACATTAAAGGGTTTTCTGAAGACAAAGGATTGGAAGAAGACTTCTTTTTGAAGATTTTTGACAAGAGATGGTTTAGAAAGGATTTTGATTTGAAACGGACGGTTCGAAGAACTTACAGCTACTCCCCGACGATCCCTGCGGACCGCGAGCTCGTATGCGGCCGTTTCTTGGCCGCTCAAAAGCTGGTTCCATTCCAGGAACGCGGTCAGCTATAAAGTAGGCGAGTTTGAGAAATCAGTCGATATTTATCAATATTTTTTTGTCATCTTTCAGAAGTAACCGGCAAGTCAACAATATGAATGTGATGATCTTTCTTTTGGTCACTAGACTCATCCCTATATAGAATTCCCAGAAGTTTCGATAATTCTCATCATATTTCTACACACGGTACTTTCAAACACTAAGTCGTTAGACTAGTCCTGCTCCGCGAAATTGATAAAAAACTTTTTAAAAGTCATAGGATATTTTGAATTTTGCGGAATTCACTTTTATAGTCAATGTTTCCCGACTTGAAAGGCGAGGGAGGCGGAGCAAGGGGCGGGACGCGTAGCGTGTGCGTACGCGGTTCTTGGCGCCAGTTCAATTCAATCGCCGCCGACTATTTAAAAAGCTCGGCAACCGCTCTTTTTTTATTTTCTTCTATTTTTTGATGCACACATGAACATAATCAATAAATAATTAAAAAAGAAGTGAAAAGAGCGATAAATAAGCTCTCTGAATGCTCGCTAGCGGTTGAATTGAACACGTGCCAAGAACCGCGTACGCACACGCTACGCTTCCCGCCCCTCGCCACGCCTCCCTCGCCTTTCAAGTCGGGAAACATTGACTATAACACCGTATAATGTCCGAAGGGCCGTACTGAGATCCTCTAGAGATAAAAATTAGATTTTTTTAAGTTTTGGCTTTTTTTTCTCCCTAAAAAATTCTGGAACTGCTCAGGGTAGGTTCCTTTCAGAAATATTGAAGCCGAGTCGAAAAAACTTACATTTTCGACCTGGTGCGGGGAAAGACGCACAGAGTGGGTCGGCGGCGGCTGTAAAAGCAAATTAGTTTTTTTTTGCAGTCGAACTTTTGAATTTGATAACTTTCGAAGGATAATGTCGTGCCCCTTTTTTAGATTTCTGAGGAAGTAAGTTCTCTAGTTTTAATAATTATTTCTTGCATTGCATTTAGAGAAGTTCAGAGATTCTTCAGTAACTTCAATTTTACGGTTTTATCTATCAAAAAAAAAACATCTGTACTGTCCAGGACTACAAATCGGTCTCGGATTCGATAAAAAAAGAACTCAAACTTCAAGAAATTTCATAAACTGTGTTCTTTTAAAGGCCTTGTTTGTTCGTTAAAAAAGGTCCCAAAATTTACTCAAAATGACACGGTTCCAAATTATGAAACTCCGAGAGAATCGGAAAGAGACGCAAGATATTAAAAAATTCGAATCATGTATTTGAAAATGACCTAGGAACACGTTTTCATCCCAAAAATGATAAAACGATGCTATACGTTTCATCTTGATTATTCTGGAATGTCTGCTTTTCAAATAATTTTAGAGCAACAAAAATCGGACTTTTGAATCATTTGAACTTTTCGCAAAGGACGTTGTAAGAAAAGCCTATATTTTAAAGACTTGTATCAATATTTCTGCCTTTTTTTCATTGAAGAATTGTTTTCATATGGCTGGGAGCCTTTTTGAACCCTGAAATATTGCAATCGAATCGAAAACTAACCGGGTCTTGTTCTGCCTCTTCTGGTGGAGGCCTTCGCCTTCCTTCCTCCGGTTGGCGACTTTCGTCGCGTGCTGGGTTGTCCATACGGACTAAAATAATGATATTAATTGAAAAATAGATCCGAAGAAAACTCAGTTTGAATTTTTTCATTGTAATAGCTCGAAAATGGTCTCGAGTAGTCTTTTTGAACTAAAATTTTTCTTCTTGATCCCAACTTCTTATAAAACCTTATATCATCAGATAGAGCCTCTATGAAGAAATTTCAGGCCTACATACTATACTGCTTCTGAGTATAGATCGCCGTTTGATATTTATGTTTTTTAAACTTTATGGTTAACCATGATAAGACTGAAAACTCCGTCTAGGTTCCGAGAATTTTTTTTTTTGATTGAACATGGTATTATCAAAAGGAAAACCTTCGCTTTGGTGAGCCTGGCTCAGTTCGCTGTGTTCTTGGTGAACGGGGTGCTTGCAGACTGTACCTGTAAAAAGGATTTGAAAAAACGTAGAGAAGAAGAAAGATAGAAAAAAAGAAGTTTTAGTAATCTACAAGGTTCCCGTTAAGATTTAAGAGATATCGCGAGAAAATCGCGGAAAAATTAGTTGAGGCTTCATGAATATTATTCTGAGGGGTTATTTTTTTGTTAAATCGACTTCATGTAACAAATTTTTTTGAAACGAATAAAATGAAACAAACTTTTTCGGCACAGTCGGCTTTTTTTGAAATGCTTAATGATCTTCACGCGCTTCGTGTTTTGTTTTTCAAGGTTTCTAAATCATTAAGTGAAAGAAATTTTTTTCGTCATTACAGAACCGTTCATTTCTAAGTTTTTCACGTTTAATTATTTGTCTGCCAATTTTTGCAAAGTCGATGAACTGCAGTGAAGAGTTGCACAAGAATTTCAAGTTTTGTTTTGAAAGTTGAAATTATTATCACAGTTACAAGACATAATTTGTAAACTTTTAGGCTAGTTACTGTGAGGCTCCGCCTCCTCACTGGGTTACGGTAGGACTTTTAGTGAAATTTTTTAACTTTTTTCCCAGTTGACGGATCGACTCAAAACTTTTTTTAAAACACACATAACGGTATTTTGAAGCATTTTCATTGAGAATTTATAAAAAGAAAATTTTTTTAACTTGAATAAAATTTTTTTCTTTTGAAAATCGTTGATTTTTTCCTTTTATGCGCTTATTGGACCGTTGGGACCCCGAATGTAGTTAAATTTTATTTGATAAATCTAAGCGCCTGGCTTTTCTTAGTCAGAAAAAAAAATGAGAACATTTTTCAAGTTTCGAAGAACGCGTCTGCTCGCCGAAGAGAACCAACTCGGAGTTGACCAATTTTTTTCGAAAAATTTCTTACTTTCTCGGAAACAGCACCATGGCTTCTTTTTTTGTATTATTCTGCTAGAAAACAAAGTTTTTTTCAAAGTTTCAGCTCTGGAAGTATATTATTCACTCTAATTTTTTTTATTTTTGGATTTTACTTGATTTTCCAGTTTTTCATTTTTTGGTTGTTTTTTTCTTTAGTTTCAATTTCCCACTCAGTGAGTTGAAATGTATTAACTTTTTTTTTTACTTTCTCGGCAAGTAGACTATGTTTAAAGTTACATTCATTTTCTTTGGAGTTTTTTATTTGAGAGACCCAGTTGGTCACCCATCTCAAAAAAAAAAATGAAAATTTCAGATCGCAGCGAAATCTGCTGAAAATTCATGTAGATAGTCCATACACATGGAACTTTTAGCTTTGCATTTTTTTTTCAAGTTTCAAATTTGCTTTCCTCAAAGAAAAAAGCTCATTTTTCTTCGTTTTTCAAAAAACTTTTTCGGTTTATTCGTGGTTTCTCGGCAATTTGTGAAATCAGAAAGCTTTGAGTTGAACCCATTCTCCACTGATGTCCTTCTTCACTACCCAGATAATCCAACGAGAGTTTATAAATGTTTTTGGTCCATCCTGAGCCCTTTTAAAGTACATCTTCAAATATTTTTCTGAGGATCCTTCGAATTTTGACCAAGAACGGCTCTTTAAACATTCTTGCCCTTTTTCGAATAGTCACGTCAAATGTTCAATGTTTCCCGAATTGAAAGGCGGAGGAGGCGGGGCAAGGGGCGGGGCGCGTAGCGTGTGCGTACGCGGTTCTTGGCGCCAGTTCAATTCAATCGCCGCCTTTCAAGTCACTCGCATGCTGAGCAGGTGTCTCAACGGGTGTACCCGTATTAAACCCGTGTTTCTGAGGTTATTTTAGTCTCAGTTGGGCTAAAACGGGGGAACAACGGGTGTAAGAAAAATAAGTAACCCAGCTGGGCTAAAGCGGGGTCTCAGTTGGGCTAAAAACTGCCCAAAGTTCTATCAGCTGGGCTTATACGGGTTTAATACGGGAGCACCCGCGGAGACCCCGTGTTAGCACGGCGGGGTTACCCTGCTCAGCATGCGAGCACATTGACTATACTATCCGCTTTTAAGCAGAACAAGCTTCATTTCCAGGACTTCTATAGATGTGACCTGCACAATAAGGCTCTTCCACTCCGTCTCCTTTCTACCTCCAGAAGGATCTTTTTTCGATTTCTCTGTCGCCGGAGGTTTAATCCAGCTGGTGTGTTTGAACGCAGACGGAAAATTGCAGGGAAAAAACTAGAGCTACCAAAAAAATGAATGTAAACAGATGAAAAAAAGGGATAGTTGGCATTTTGATCTCGCGTCCATCGTTGTGTCTGCACCCTCCTCCGATGAGACAGCGTGACAAATATACTGCCTCTATATAAACCATCACAAAACGCGCAATTTTTGCAAAGTCCAAAAACCAGATCAATGGTTCACTACAAGTTCTACTATTTCCATCTCCGCGCTTTGGGCGAAGTTTCTCGCCAACTTTTCGCCCTGGCTGAAGTCGACTACGAGGACATTCGCATCAATTTCGGCGAAGAATGATCGAAAATGAAGCCAAGTTTGTTGAATCGTCATGGGAAAGGGAGAAAATCATCGATTTTCAGCGACCTTCTTTGGGAAATTGCCAATTTTGGAGGTCGGTGGCAAGCCGATTTCCCAGTCTGCGGCCATCTCCAGGTACCTGGCCAACAAGTTCGGCTACGCCGGGAAGACCGACGAGGACAAGGCGTTGGCTGACGCCTTCGCCGACCAGTTCAAGGACTTCATTCAGATCATTCGACCATACTTTTCCGCCATTCGCACTGGCAAGCCTCAGGAAGACATTGTAAGTAATAATATCAAGATCAGCATTTTTTTCTTATTTTTTTTCTTCTTCTTTGGAGCTCCATAGTGCTCCCTATAGGGGCAATCTTAGGAACCACTTCACCAACAAAAAAGTGATACCTGTAGGGGACACGCTAGTCGGTGATTTTTATAAACTCTATGCGACGAAGCATTTCCAAAACTAAAAAAATTAACCCTTTTTGAAAAAAATCGAAACACCCCTATAGGGACCACTCAAGCTTTGGGGGCTAAGGGATCAGACCCTAAACCCCTATAGAGATCACCTTGATTTTGCTCCTGTAGGGTTAACTTTTTCGGCCCCTAAAGAGCTGTTTTACCCTTGATTGCAAGCGAGAGAGTATGCGGAACCTAGAAGGGCAGAATTTTGTTTCTCCGGCTTTTCTTCAAACTTTATATAGTCCTTTTCCACGGCTGGAAAGGGCGTGACTTCTCTGCGCCCTCCTCGTCTCTCGGCGACCCTCTCATGTTGACAGGCTTTTTTCATCTTTCTCTGAACTGTCGAGGGAACAGAGAGATCCAGACACTCGAAAACTTTCAAGCCGCGATGAAAGAGAAGTAACATCTTCCCACATCCAAAAATTGTTTGAGCCGTAACTTTTATATTTTGAAACACTTGGAATTTCACCGAACGACATTCCGCTGTGTCGCTGCGCGCCTTTGCGAACCTTGGTCGCGCTTTTAATTTTTTCTTTTCTTTTATTGAGGTACTTTACTTTCATGTGATCCCAGAGCAATAACAATCAATTAAAAGCGTGACCTCTATTCGAAAGACGCTTCGCGAACGCACGCAGCGGAACAGCGGAATGTCGTTCGGTGAAATTTCAAGTCGTGGCACACAGACTCTACCTTAACGGCACTTTCATTTTTACTTTCTTTTTTCTCTTTTCTATAATCCCGATTAGAGAGAAGAAACGCAGACATGTCAGACGGGTTAAAATCATTGAGAATGAAGTAAATTAAGATAATCAGATGAATTTTTTTGCAGGACGCAGCTATGAAGGATATCGTCCTTCCGGCCTACGAAGAGTTCTTTAATTTAATAACCGAGCACCTGAAGAAGAGCTCTTCTGGATTCCTGCTCGACTGCGGCCTCACTTATCCCGACCTGACTTTGGCTGAATTGACCGGTTGGGCTCAACAATGGAACGCTATCGATCCAAAGTTCACCGAGGTTTGAAATCCCGTATATCATTCATCATCTCCTTTCGTCCTTTTCCAGGTTCTCGAACACCAGAAGAAGGTTCACTCGATTCCGCAGATCAAAAAATGGATCGAGAAACGCCCAGTATCTGAATATTGAGAAAATGACGTTTGGTTGTGATATTTTCTGTAAAAATATGAGTGAATTTCTATGTTGTGTAAAGTTTTTTCATTGAACCTTTAAAGGTCAGAAAAAATAAGCATTTTATTGAAGTTTCGAAAGACCTTTTTCGGAACAATTTCTTAAAAAAGGACCCTCATCTCCGGTTTATATTTTTCAAGAAGCTCAGAAGTTTTGGTAAGAGCTGATCCGATCTAATTTGAGGCCAGTAAACCGACTCAAACAGTCTCATTTCTCTGCACCCTCTTTTGTCTTGCTGTTTTCATGTTTCTCTGGCCTCGCCGGCGATTGAACAGAGAGACGCAGACAGGTCAGACGGCTTCAAGTAGTGGGAAAAAGATCATATCAGCAATGCTCTGGAAGCTTGCCGAAGAACGAGCCGTCAGGAAAGCCATGCATCGGCCGCCGCAAGACCACGGTTGCGCGCTTTCGGAGCGATTTTGCGAAATGAGGGTCATTCTAGAATTCTATCGAACTAGTATCAGCGTATAGAGCTTTTCAAAAGGTATCTTTTAAAACGCTAAGAATGAAGGATCTCCGGGCTCAACGTCAGGGTGGCCAAACAACATAAAAAGTACCGTATCTCAAAGTTTTTCCACAGTAACCCAAGTGGTATGTACTGAAAAAGTTTCTAAAATTGCAATACCTATCGATTGATATATTACTTGCCAAGTAAAAACTCTTCAATACTTAGATACGCAGGTGCCCACCTGCCTACCGTAACCAGGCTACAGTAACAGAAAATGGCTCACAAAGTTGGGTCCGCATTTCTGATGATTGGCTATCACACTGGATGAAGTTTCACCAAAATAAAAAATAAAAAATTTTTTTTCCGATCAAACTAAATTCATTTTGCTACCACCGACCCCGCCTCTAGTTGATGTATGTATCCTTTCCCACGTGGTGACAAATAAAATGAGTATTTGCCAGAGAAGTCTCCCAAGAAAAAAAATCCTGGTTGCTAAGCAATCTGCGCCCTCCGCCGGCGAGAGAGCATGACAAAGTTGTATGAAAGCCTAAAAGGATTCAAAACGGGAGTTTCTTTATTCATTGACCGAAAGAATGGTCCAGTACAAGCTTACCTACTTTGACCTGCGCGGCCTCGCCGAAACAGCCCGTCAACTTTTCGCCCTGGCCGGCGTCGATTATGAAGACGTCCGTGTCGATTTTGACACCTGGCCGGAGATCAAGCCCAGTCAGTTGAAAAATAAAGAATACTTGAAAAAATATCATTTTCAGAGACCTTCTTTGGAAAGCTACCAATTCTGGAGGTCGACGGCAAGCAGATCCCCCAGTCGTTGGCCATTTCTCGGTTCCTGGCCAACAAGTTTGGCTACGCCGGAAAGTCCGACATGGAGAAGGCTTGGGCCGACGCCTTCGCCGACCAGTTCAAGGACTTCCTCATGTCGATTGGGCCCTACTTTGCCGCCAAGCGTCTCGGCAAGCCTCAGAGTGAAATCGTGAGTAGTTTGAAATTTTTTGGGGTCATGGAGATTTATGATCAGTCTTCGTCTTTTTTCGGAGTCCATATCCTAAAAGTTCAGCTCAAATAGTCCTAGTTCAGAAATTGAAACCGGAATTTTTGAGAAAAACCAATAACTTTCTGTGTAACTCATTCACCACATCTTGAAAGAGTCTGACTCGTCTGCGCTCTCTTTTCTCTCCCTGTTCCTTCACTTCTGAAGAAGAAATCGCGGAGACACGTCAGATTGTTCATTTTATGAAGAATAAAGTGGAAAAAAGATAGAAAATCTTGTGAAATTCTTTGAAGTCCTACTTTAATAAATAGAATATAGTCTGTGTGCCAAGACTTGGAATTTCACCGAACGACATTCCGCTGTTCCGCTGCGTGCGTTCGCGAAGCGTCTTTTAAGTCTAGGTCACGCTTTCAATTGATTGTTATTGCTGTGGGAGCACATGAAAGTTGAGTACCTTAATAAAAGAAAAGAAAAATTAAAAGCGCGACCAAGGTTCGCAAAGGCACACAGCGGAACAGCGAAATGTCGTTTGGTGAAATTCCAAGTCGTGTTAGTCAGACTATACCCCACTTTACTTTCATTTCCTACAGGATTCAATCCTGAAAGAGACGGTCCGACCGGCCTACGACGATCTCTTCAAAGTCGTCACCAAACGTCTGCAAAAAAGTTCGACAGGATTCCTACTCGACTGTGGCCTCACTTACCCTGACCTCACTTTGGCTGAACTCACTTTTTACGCCCAAAAAATGGGCGTCATCGACTCCAATTATACCGAGGTTTGAAATATTTTTTTTTTCATAGAATCTAATAATTCATTTGACAGGTTCTCGAACACCTGAAGAAGGTACAATCGGTTCCGCAGATCAAAAAATGGATCGAGAAGCGTCCTGTCACTGAACATTAATCAAATAATTACTTATTTTTATGATCTCTTCGAGCATAATATGTGTGATAATTTTCCAAATGGTTGCTGTCTTTTTGGAAGAATAAAACAGTTTAAAAATGGTTCATTGGCTATAAAGTAGAAAGGTGACCCCATCTTCACAACATACTTGTTCGTGGAAGAAAATTCAAAACCAAAAATGAAGAGGGTGTAGTCAAAACTTCCACCGTTCCCATGTGACGTCATGAGAAATGAATGGAAACAACACGGAAATGAGTCATGAGACGAGTCGTAGAAATTTAGAGTTCATTTTGACTTTCGCGAGAAACACTATGAACACGGCATGTGCGAGAGCGCCGTGGTGCGTGCACACAACACACTACATTTTACGAAAAAAAGGAGAAAAAACGCCGAAAATTCCTAATGAAAAAAATTTGTTCATTTTTCGTTTTCAAAGTGATAAAAATCTCATGCTCACACGTTGAGTGGCTTAAAACACGGCTGTGATGAGCGTTCGACCAAAAACGACTTGCGCACGAGGACGTCATACCACTTTGAAAGGGACCAGGACTCAAGACAATCCGTAAATCACAGTGATTTTTTTTTTCAACAAGTTGGCACACTTCATTTTTTTTTTGTTTAAAAGTATATTTTTCTGCTCTTTCTGTACTTTCTTCTTCTCACATGCATTATCATGCTTCTATAAATTTTCCGCTTGTAGAAAAGAGAGCGCAGACAGGTCAGACTGTGTCGAGAAAGCTATATTTGAAATCATATTCCGCCAGAAACCACAGAATGCCAAAGTATTTCATAAGAACACAAATCATACTTTTTCGATGACTATTTCGACCGCAGCGATCTTTGTTGTCGAGTGTTTGCAAGAACTCTCCTCTCTCCATTATCTTTTTCTCTCTTCTGCTCGCTCAATGTTCTCTTCGTTGTTGTCGTTTCCTCGTCTGCGTCTCTCGATTAAAGACCGAAGGGGCACTATATAAATAGCCAGGTACGAGAAAGGTGCACCGCTTTCTTTAGCTGAAATCAAAAAGCTTCCAGAAATGGTTCATTACAAGCTGATTTACTTCAACTCCCGTGGATACGCCGAGACGGCCCGTCAACTTTTCGCCTTGGCCGAGGTCGAATACGAGGATATTCGTTTCGAACATCAGGGTCCCGAATGGCCGAAATTGAAGCCAAGTGAGCTTTTAAGAACTTTCTTAGAAATAAAAAGGGCAATATTCAAAAAAAAGAGCTGGTTTAGGAATTCCAGAGTGGGCCTTATAGTGGTTAGTGGGGAAAAGGGGCCGAAAAAGTGGTCCCTATAGGGGCAAAATTAAGGTGGTCCCTTTAGGGGTTTAAGGTCTGATTCCTTAGCCCCTTAAGCTTGAATGGACCCTATAGGGACCTTTAAATTTCATTCAAAACATGCTTATTTATTCAGTTTTTTCCCAAGGAAATGTCCCCTCGAGGGACCACTTTTGCAAGCTTTAGGGGTCTAAAAGGGATTGGTAAAGTGGTCTCTAGAGTGGACCCTCCAAGGGCCGGTAAGGTTGTCCCTATAGGGACCACTCTAGAGTTCCTAATTAGTTACCAATTCTGAGAGTTTTAAAAAATTTCCAAAAGTCGCCGTTTTTTCTCGAATTTTGATTCGAACGTAACCCGAGAGAGTGTAAGCTTCTAATACCCTTTAAAAAAATTATTCAGAAACTCTAAAATTAAGTGGATCATCAGAATCATTTTCCAGATACCCCATTCGGCCAAGTACCTCTTCTTGAGGTCGACGGCAAGCAGATACCTCAATCCTTGGCCATTACTCGTTACCTGGCCAACAAGTTTGGCTACGCCGGAAAATCGGACGAGGACAAGGCCTGGGCCGACGCTTTCGCCGATCAAATCAAGGACCTCATCATCCTTTTCGGGCCTTATCACATTGCCAAGCATGCTGGCAAGTCGGCCGATGAGCTGGTGAGTCTCGATTTTCCGAGCATTAAGAAGTGAGAAGTAAATTTTGATCATGAACTTCTTTCAAAAAAGCTTCAAATTACTGGAGAAACTCAGAAGACTCCTGTTCTTGATAAAGACGGGCCATTCACTTAGAACTCCGAAAATTCCTTGGGATCAGACCCTAAACCCTATGTAGGCATCACCTTAATTTTACCCCTATAGGGACCACTTTTTCGGCCTTGTAGAGGTATTTTTCCCTCTCTAACCCCTATAAGGACCACTCCGGAACTTCCAACAACGTCAAGTTTATAAAACCCCCTCTTTGATGAGGAAAATCCTTCAAAAAAGAAATCTCAAAAAAAAAACACCTACCGCTTGTTAAGAAACTCCAGAGTGGTCACTATAGGGGCAACCTAAGAGGTTTTTGTACGGTCTCCTCTAGGGACCACTTTGCAAAGCCTTGGGCCGCTAAAGCTTGCAGATGTGGTCCCTATAGGGGTTTTTAGTCCGTGGCTCCTATAAGGCCCACTTGAGCTTTGGATCAGACCCTTAAACCCTATAGGAACCACTTTTCGGCCTCTAACCCCTATAGGGACACTCTAGAACTTCCAAGAACGCCAATTTTCGAAGACCCCTTCTCTGATGAGGAAATCCTTCAAAAAAAGAAAGCTTATGGATTCGATCCCTTGACCATTTGACTAGGTGTCGAAAACAATTGCGCTGCGCCATGACGACCGCTAGAGTTCCCCACAGCTTTGGACAGTAGAAATGACAAAAATTTGTTCAGAGCGCGATTCTGAAGGACTCGGTTCGGCCCGGACTCGAGCAGTTCTACACCATAATCGCCAAGTATCTAAAACAGAGCAAGTCAGGCTTCCTTCTCGACAGCGGGATCACCTATCCCGACCTCATCCTCGCCGAACTCACGACCATTATCGATAACGTCGATCCCATCGACAAGTCCAAGCATCCTGAGGTTTTCGTCCACAAGAACCCCAAAAAACGCCATTTCAGCTCTTCGAGCACCAGAACAAGGTCCGGTCGATCCCCCAGATCAAGAAATGGATCGAGAAACGTCCAGTTACAGAAAACTAAATCTTTTTTGTGACGATTTGTGATCTCTGTGCATTCTTATCAATAAATAAGCTTTTCTGGGGAAATAGGATACAACGGCAAACAAACATCACTCGGCACACATGAGAAAGAGAAATGATGAAAAGTCCGAATTGCAGGTGGAATATTCTCATAAGCGTTTTAGTTGGAACTGAAAAAGCTAGAAAAAAAACCTTTTTGCAAAAAAGTTGACTAGGGAACGTTTTTTAATTCCCTGTTGAACTTTTGCTGAAACTTTGCTGAAGTGTACCTAAAGGCTAAAGGGCCTCCTGATTCCAATTTTCTTCCAGAACAGGAAGAAAATTGCTCGCAATAGATCTCGTTTTCGAGTTACGACATTTCAGAAGCCCGAAATAGCGCTTTTTTGGCCTAATTTGCTTATTTTGCACACTTTGAAGCTCCATAACTCGGAAACAAGATCTATTGCGAGAAATTTTCTTTCTTAAAAAACGTTTTCTGGTGAGCTTTTTTCTTTCCAACTGCACAGGGTCTTTAATTTTTATCGTTTCGGAACATTTTTTGTGTATCGGTTATTTAAGATTTTTCTTATTTTCTATATTCTGTTTTCCTTGGCTTGAAAGCGCGAAATTTCTCTGCGCTCTCCTTATCTCTCGACGACCCTCTCTTGTTGACGTGCTATTACCATGCTTCTCTGACCTCGTCGGTGAGGGAACAAATAGACACAGATATTCGAAAGATTCTAAGTAACGGACTATACTGTGAATGGAAAAAGCATTAATAATAATATAAAAGTTTTCAAGCTAATGGTAAACATAATCACCGAAAACGGTAAATTCAGAAATGATGCATCAATATTTCTGACGCACGGTGTAACGTAATTTCTGTCTCTATATTTATGGATTTTCCAACCTGTCCCGCATTTTAAGAATGTCAAGGGCTGAACAAAAAGTGACCAGAAAAAATTTCTGTAAGAAACTGGAATTTTAGTTTTTCCAGCTGAAAACAATGTCCCAAGCCAATGTGCCATGGCGACCGGAAAAAGTTCATATTGCCGTTTGGAACCTCTAATAATCAAACGTTTACACCTTCACTACAATATTCTGTATCTATTCAACCCTTAATTTGATGCCTTTTTCACTTTTTTTGATAATTAATAAAATTATAAAAGTTTTTCCAGCAAAAATCAGCGAAAAAAAGAGAATTCATAATTAGTGCATCAATATTTCTGACGCACAGTGTATCGTAAAACTCTGTCTCCTTATTTATGGGTTTTCAACCTGTTCTTCAAATTCGAATTCAAAGAATGTTAACCAAAAGAAATCACATAAACTTGACGACATCAAAAAAAAAAATCTGGCGAGAAAAAATTGGCTTGGACTTTGACCAAACTACAGCGCTCCGAAATTGTTCTCAATGGGAAGATTTTTTTTTTCTTTGCTTTGTCTTTTTTTGGTTCTTTTCAACTCGAGGTATATGGGTTAGGAATCGAGGTCACAGAAGATGGTATCGGAAAGAAATCCAAAAAAATTCTTTCAACGAGCCTTTTTTGGGTAACAAATGGTTTCAACTTCAATTTAAAAAAAGGGATATGGTTTAAAAAAAAAGTTTTTTTCGACTTTCAAAAATAAACGAGAACAACTAACCAAATTGAATCTAAAAAATCTCGGAAATGGACCGCTTAAGGGGTTTTGTTAAGCAGAAATACATACTTTATTTTGCCAGCAAAAAAAAATTGAAGTTGCCTAATCCTGAGTGGTCCCTATAGGGGCAAGCTTAGGAGTCCTAGGGGTCCCCGTCTACAGACCACTTTACCCACCCCTATAGGGACCCCTAACGCTTGAAAAAATAGTCCCTATAGGGGCTTCAGTTAGTGGCCCCTATAGGGGACATGCTAGTTGATAATTTTCAAGAAATCTATGCGATTAAATGAGCGTTTTTTTCGTTTCCCCCCATAATTTTTATTCCTTACCCCTATAGGGACCACTCAAAAAGTCCTAAGTTTGATGAAAAAAAATTGCAAAACTTTTTTCAATCTTATTATCGTTCCCGCAAATGATCTCTACAGCCTCTTAAGTGGCCACTTGGAACTTTGTTTCTAACAAAACCAGTAATTTCACTCTTAACTTTAGATCAAATTTCCTCCTGGAAACCGACTGGAAATTAACTCAGCCCCGTCCTGACGAAAAAAAGAAAGTTTGTTTAGTTTCTGCTCCATTCAACTTGCCGTTTTTTCCTTCATTTCTCTCTCTTCTCTTCTTTTTTTTCCGTGTGGCCTCGACCTCGTGTTGGGAGTAATACGCGTGAAATTGCCCTTTTTTCTCGAAATTCGGGTTCAAAAGGACGCTTTCAATCGACAGTTCTGCCCTTTTTCAGAGTTCCTTTTTTGTCTTTTGAATTATTGAACTTTTAGAACGGAAATGGTCGCCTACAAGCTGATCTACTTCCCGATCCGTGGACTGGCCGAAGTTTCGCGACAGGTGGCTTTATTTTTTTATTTTTTTGAATAAATTTTTGAAATTTCCAGCTCTTCGCCCTGGCCGATGTTGACTATGAAGATGTTCAAATTGCGGTCGAGGACTGGCCAAATAAGAAAGAAGGTTTTTTTTTCTGAAAATTGAGACAAAGTTTGATCTTCAGAGATGACTTTTGGCAAGCTGCCAGTGTTGGAGGTAGACGGCGTGCAGATCCCTCAGTCCGTCGCCATCGCCAGGTTCCTCGGCAGGAAGTTTGGTGAGAAATGTTTTGCTAAATAAAAGAAATATCCTTTAATTCATTTTTCGAGTCGTCTATCTATAATTAGAGCACAAAAAGGCACCTTTCTGAAGCTAGCTGTTCCTAATTATCCTTTTCTGGAAATGAAATTCAAAGCGATAGAAAAAATGATAATTTTTTTTCGCTTGAAAAGCAGCAGTCAATTTTCAATCTTCTGCGCTCTAATGATAAAAAAAAAGAAATTTGGGTTTTTCTACGCTTGAATGGTAATCATTGAGCATTAAAGTGAGATTTCGTCTATAAAAACTTCAAAGTTCAGGTTCTTTTAGTAGTCTTTCACTTCAAAGAACGTTAATCCAAAAAAGCTGAAAAGCTTTTTATTCAGTCTTATGCGCTCTAATGATAAATTATATTATCACTCGGATCTCGGACGCCCCCCGGACGTCTTTGAGCATTTCTAGAGGTCACTTCAGCGGCTTCAGCTCTCATGCTCTCATTAGAAAATTTCAGAAACGTCTCGGTTTGCGTTGCCGAGGTCCATGTCCTCTACCGTAGAGAAAAAATAACTCCATTTTTTGAGCCGTGGATATTCAAGTTAAGACATCACTTAAAAATCAAATTCAAAAACAAAAAAGGCGCCAACGGCATGGAACTAGGTTAAAAAAAAAGTTGTTTTGGTTTTTTGTACGACACTCCGCTAAAACGCTTTGAAAATCGGGTGAAAAGTATATGAGATTAAAGAGGAAGGTTTTCTCTATGTTTCCACCAAATTTCTCTGTGTTTGATTCAGTATTGCGCTTTTACGAAAACATCAAACACGAAATCTAAAAAACCATCGAATTTCACTATCGCAAAAAGGGGCGTGGTTTTGCGGTCTCTACATAAACTTCAGGCTACGCCGGTAAGACTCCGGTCGAAGAAGCGCTGGTCGACGCGTTCGCCGACCTTTTCAAGGACTTCTACACCGAATCGGCCGACTTCTACTACCGTGCCGCCGGATTCAGAGAAGGAGACGTCGAGGAAGCCAGAACCAGGGCCTTGATCCCGGCTCGGGACACGTTCCTTCGAATTATCACCGAGTACTTGAAGAAGAGCAAGTCAGGTGAACAATTTTTTGATAAAGGTCTTAGAATTTCAGGTATAGCTATGGAGCACTCTTCATGTTCTAGATTAAAAAAAAACCCTTGAGTGAGCACTTCAAACTTCACAGTGATGTCTAGATCTGAAAACTATGCTCGTCTCTCCGAAAAGACTTGATCTCTCTCGATTCCCCCAGCTTAAGAGAAATAGAGGGCGCAGATAAGCTAGAACCTTCAAAATGACCAATCCTTTTCAGGATTCCTCGTCGACAGCGGTCTGACCTTCGCTGACCTTCTCATCGTCGACAACATGACCTCGTTGATCTCCTTCTACTCGGAATATCTGAAGGACTACCCGGAGGTTGCGCTTTTCGGAAAATTCCTTATAGTAAATAAGGAAGTTCAGGTCCAAGCCTGGTACGACAAGGTCGTCAACGTGCCCCAGATCAAGGCCAGAATCGAAACTCGCCCGAAAACTGTTGCATAATTTGCTTATCCATTATATGAGCTGAAGGAACATTGCTTTTTTTAAAACATAATTCTGTTCGATTAATTTGGAATTTTTATTATTTTTGCGAATAAAAAATTCTCCAGCATTCAGGTATAATTGAAAGTTTTTGATAGAAATGGTGACACCCATCTTTTTCCAACTCGCGCCCGACCCAAAACGGTTTTCGCATTGGAAGCCATCACGGAGTTGCGAGTCGACTCAAAAAAAGTTTTTAAATAAAAAAATGATATCAAAATTTCGACCAAAAATAATTCCAGTTGTTTTTTGCAGAAAATTAATTTTCAGCCTCTTTTCTCAGAACTAATCAACTTTGTTTTCAATTCCAGACAAAAAGTAAAGTTTTCCCGCAAAGTTCCAAAATAATTTTGCTGACAAAATAGCTTTTTTTAGTTCCGAATTGTCATCATGAGAAGAAACTAGCGACGACAATGGATATCAGAGAGATCAGGCCAAAGATCAAGCCGAAAAGATATCTCTGCAAAAGAGAAAAGTCAGCGTTTGTCATCATTTTTGGTTCAGACCTTTCAAAAAGCTGGTTTTCTTTGTAGTGAAATGGAGAAAAAATAGCGTTTAGAAAAGATTCTTGAAGAAATTTACGATGTTAGAGAATTTTTTTTTCATTTTTGATGTCTGGAGAGAACTGGATTTTCAAGTCAGAAACTTGAGTTTTGCTTAGGAACCCCAGAGCTGTCCCTATAGGGGTAATCATAGGAACTCTTGAAGATTTCTCTCTAGGACCACTAAAGCTTTCAAAAGTGGCCCCTATAGGGTACATGCTAGTCGATTACTATTATCAATTCTCTGAACCGTTTTTAAGCGAAAAAATCAATTAATTTATCGTTTTCTGAGTGAAAAAAAGTCAGACGTAGATGAGTTCCCAAATCTGAAAAAAAAAAATTAAAAGGATCTATAGGGAGGAGATCACCTGAATTTTAAATTCACTGGGAAACTTTTTAGTGGCAGCTATACGCTTTTGACGTTTTATTGTACCACTATAGGAGTCAAATTAGTGGCCACTTAAGGGGTTAATAATTAGTGGCCACTATAGAGGTCTAAGTGCTACTACTAGACCACTAAAAATTTTAGTGGGCAATTTAGGGGTCAATGGATCAACATAACTGGTCAAATCTGTTTGTTCTAATATTATCAGAGTTGCTGGAAGGAATACTGGATGAATAACTACTGAAGTGGCCACTAAATAGGGTACCCTTATAGTGGCCACTTAAACGGAAAATATCGGCCACTATAGAGATAGGTGTAGTGGCCACTTTAGCGTCCTCTCCAAATAGCCCTTGGCGAGCCTATATAGTGGTCACTCAAAATTTTCCCAGTAGAGAGGCCTTTTTTCTTCCCCTAAGGGACCACTCTGGCGCCCTTGAACAGGGAGGCACAAAACTCTAATTTCGATCTGATTTTGAATAAAAAAAACCGTTTTTAGTACTCAAAAACAATTAATTATTAAATAGCTTGAATTTCTATGAAAAGTGGACTTTTTCGTTACGTCAGGACTTCTAGAAAAAGCGTTTATTTGTTTTATGTCTGCTTTTCAAACCATTTCGACTTTTCTTTTTTTTTTCTTCTTTTTAGTTCTCCTTCTTTCTCAAAAAAAAAAAAACACGTGGAACGGAAAATTTCTCTCGAAACTGGTTCATTTCCCAGAAACAATCAAATCATCTCAACATGTTCTCAACAGTTTTGCTGATAAAACTTTTTCCCGCCTGATTTATTGTCATCATTCGAAGTAATTACAACGACTGGGAAAAGCCAAAGATCGTTGGGTTTTCCAATTTCAAACGAAAGGGGCGTGGCTTAAGCTTAACAAGCTGTCTGTGAATGTAGTATAAAAGCGACGGGCAAAGAAACAACTGCCGCAAAATTTTTGCTCTCTCGGAAATTTGGCTCATTTTCTGAACAAGAGAGAAAAAAATTGCCTTGCATTTTTTTTTCGTTCCATTCATATTCAGTTCCTGATTGTTTGGAATGCTATTTTGGACCTGGAAAATTGAAAAAAAAAATCCTTTCAAAAATAAAAGAATCCTGTAACGACTAGCTTTGAACTGTGAAAAAAATGACAGCACAAAAATTTTTCTTTTTTTTACGACTGGAAAAAAGGTGCTTTTTGAGTAAAATTCATCGGTTTTTCATCTTCTAAAAAGATTCGAAAACTTCAAAGTTAATGCATTTTTAAAGAATAAAAAAATCATTCTTTTTCAAAAAAATTGTGACAAAATCTGAATTATTTCCTTGAAATGTATATGACTTTCATCTGAATATTTTTCGTTTCACTAAAAAAAATGATTTATTCTACACTTTTACAGCTTTTTTAAAATCATTTTTTGATAATAAAATTTCATTTCTTTCTATTCTCATTCGTCATAATTATCAAACCAGCCCCTTTTTTCCTCCATTTGTTCGTAAAATCTAAACTAAATCAGGAAATGGTCCAATACAAGCTTTACTACTTCCCTCTCCGTGGCCTGGCTGAAGTTGCCCGCCAGGTTGTTTATTAAAAACTTTATAAAATAATAAAAATGAACTTAGCTTTTCGCTCTGGCCAAAGTCGACTACGAGGACATTCAAATCCCTGTCGATCAGTGGCCAGCGAAGAAAGAAGGTTTGAAAAAAGATTTTCACAAGGAATGGTGAAATTAAGAAATGATCTTCGCCAAGATGCCAGTTCTGGAGGTGGATGGAGTCCAGATTCCTCAATCTCTGGCCATCGCCAGGTTCCTGGCGAGGAAGTTCGGTGAGAGGCTTTTTTGACTTGAACTTGTGCGCTCCAAGGAGAAACGAGGGCAAAGCAGGGTTTTCTAATGATAGTGAAGCTGTTCAGTGATATGATTAGTTTGATTAAGTGTAAAAATGCTGAAAAAATCTTCCAACTCTTTCTTGTGCGCTCCAAGGACAGCTCGAGTGACACGCTCACACATTATCATTTCTAGGGATCACTTAAGAGTGCTGACGGTATTTAAGTGGTCACTAGAAATTCCCCGACACGTCCGATTTGCGTTACCAATGTCCGAGTTAGGTAGAAAACCGTTGTGTGCATTTCTAGTGATCACTTTAGCGGCCTCAGCGCAATAGAAAGAATGTTTTTTTTTCTAGAACTGCTTTTCCGACATTTACTCTATACTAACTTGAATCAATCAACTTGCAGGCTATGCCGGAAAAAATCCAGTAGAAGAAGCTCTGGTCGACGCCTTGGCCGACCAGTACAAAGAGTTCTACACGGAGATGTCCGACTTCTTCTATCGGGCCGCTGGATTCAAAGAAGGCGACGTCGAAGAAGCCAAGACTAGAGCCTTACTCCCGGCTCGCGAGAGGTTCTTCGCCTTCCTCAGCAAGTTCCTGAAGAAGAGCAAGTCAGGTGAGATGGATTTAAGGAAATTTCAAAAAGTTCAATTCAAATTAATCTTTGACATTAATTTTGAACTTCAAGATGGGCTTTGACATTTCTGACATTAGTTGGGAATTGATTTATATTTTTAAAAAAACCTTGATGAGTTTTTCGAGAAAAGATAGAGGTCCATTGTTTCAGAAATTAGTCCATACTCCTTTAAAAACCTTATTTTTTCTTCAAAAACTTCAATTTCCTCCCAGGATTCCTCGTCGACGGCGGCTTGACCTACGCCGACCTGATCATCGTCGACAACGCGACCTCCTTGATCAACTTGTACCCCGATTACTTGAAAGGCTATCCTGAGGTTAAAAATAAATCCGTAAAAAATTGAAATAAACTGAAATACTTCCAGATCCAAGCCTGGTACGACAAGGTTGTCAGCGTGCCAGCCATCAAGGCCAGAATCGCGTCTCGCCCGAAAACTACCGCATAATCTTGCTTTACTATTTATACCATGTGCAAAGATGTGTATGAAACAATGTTAAATGAACTTTAACTCTTTTTATTGAGGAATCGATGATAAGGAAGGCAAAAAAATACGCAAAATTGTGCAAAAAAACCTCGGAAAATTGAAAGCTCCTATTTTTTTCTCACTTTTTCAAGTTTTTTTAAAAATAAATTGATTACCATAAAAAGTATTATGTTCGGAGAATATACTCTGGAAAAAGAAAAAAACAAATAACGGAAAGCAGAGAACCTTCTGTTTGTTCTACGTCTGCTTTCTCAAACCACTCCGACGGTTTTTTTCCTTTCATTTGACAACAATTTCTCTTTTTTTAAATCAAAAAAACGTATAAATGGCATTGCGGTTTGTTTAAAAACTAGTTTAAAACAGAGAAACAGGACTAAAAAATTTCGCGGAGGGAAAAAAAAAACGATTTTTTCGCCTCAAAAGATCGACTTTACCCACAAAGTTCAACACCACAAAGATCAGCATCAGATTTTTTCAACTTTGAGGGATACAGGCGTGGTTTGCTTTTCAACAAGCAGGCCGGTCATATAAATAGAAACTTTGCAAAGAAAGACTTTCTTTCTCTTCGAAATGAAACTTTTCCCAAGTCAGAGAATTTTTCTTTTCTTCCTCGGTCTCATATTTCCTTCCTGCTTGTCAAATACGCGAGTCTGTAAAAAAATGTCTGTAAAAAAAGATTTAATTGCATACAACAATAATTAATTCAAAAAATGTTTAACTGAAAAATAAACTTGAATCTGGACTTTGATCAAGCGGCCGCTAGCGGCGTTCAATGCCCTTAAGTAATCCCTCAAGGTGCAAACTTTCCTTGTTTTGCATTTGAAGTGGTGCGCGGAAACGTTTTTTTTTTAAATTTTTGTGAATCGCTTTTTACGCAATTGCATTTGCATAAAGCCCCACTTTTATTTCAGAAAAATGTCTCAATACAAGCTTTTTTATTTCCCGTACCGAGGTTTCGCCGAGGTTTCTCGTCAGGTTGGTGCCTTCCGAAGAACTGTTTTAAGCTAATAATTTCAGCTTTTTGCTCTTGCCAATGTTGAATACGAAGACATCCAAATTACGTTGGATCAGTGGCAGTCTAAAAAAGAAGGTTTGAGAGATAATAAATGAAAGTTTCAAAATTTCCAAATCTTAGAAATGCCGTTCGCCAAACTGCCGGTGCTGGAAGTGGATGGCGTCCAAATTCCTCAATCACTGGCTATCGCCAGGTTCCTTGCGAGGAAGTTCGGTGAGAAAATTTGACTTTTCTGACTTAAACGTGTGTTTCGGAACTTGTAAATAAAGTTTAATATAAGATTCAGGTGTATTTTGGGAAGAACAAACGGTTTGCAGGCTTCGCCGGCAAGAATCCGATAGAAGAAGCTCTGGTCGACGCCTTGGCCGACCAGTACAAGGAGTTCTACACAGAAATGGCGGACTTCTTCTACCGGGCTTCTGGATTCAAAGAAGGCGACGTTGAAGAAGCCAAGAATCGAGCTCTTATTCCGGCTCGCGACAAGTTCTTCTCGTACTTGGGAAAGTACTTGAAGAAGAGCAAGTCAGGTGAGAAATCAAAATATGTATAGTAAATGCTCCGATTTTTTGGACTTTATAACTCGTAAAATTCAGAATGAAGTTAAAAACAATTTTAATGCATTTTGATGTTTTGTTCAGTTTTTTCAACGACTATAGTTTCATATATTTTCGATTTTCCTGGTGAAAATTGTCTTCTAGTTTTTGTCTGTTTTATTCTTTAGGTAACCTAAATTTTCATATTTTCTCAATATTCTTGTATGTTCCAGTAAAAAGGTTCTTTTTTCCAGGATTCCTATTCGACGGCGGCCTGACCTACGCCGACCTGATCATCGTCGACAACATGACGGCGTTGATCTCCTTCTACCCGGAATACTTGAACGGCTTTCCTGAGGTTGAACTTTGACAAATAAAAAAAAAGATGATTTTATTCAGATCCAAGCCTGGTACGACAAGGTCGTCAACGTGCCGGCCATCAAGGCCAGAATCGAATCTCGCCCGAAATGGCCTGCGTAATTTATTTCACCTTTACAATGTATATAATTTATGGTCATAATCTAGATGAGTTTTCATTTGAAACTTCTCAGAAAGCAAAAAAAAAGATAATGTAATTTCAATGAAGGCTTTTTAATTTTTCACCCTGTACCAAAACTCACGAAAATCGGCACAAACTACTTGAAAAGGGGCGGGACTTTACAGTCTTCTGAATTAGGCCATGAAAAATCTGAATTAAGGCTTGGCTTGCCGGAAAAATGTATATAAATGTCTCGGAGAATACGTTGACCAGAAGAAAAGATGACGTCACTTACCATTTTGTTATTTCTCGGAATTTTCTTGTTCTTCGGATGCAAGGTCGACGGCAAAGGTATTATTTTTTTTTCTATTTTATAACGATAAAAAAATAATTGAAAAATATCGAAGAGGAGTTATCAAACTGCGCGAAAAGGTTCTAGTCGTTGGAATAAATTTTCGTTTTTAGAATTTCGGACTTTTTTCATACATCGGAAACTGTCCAAAATTTGATGAAAAATAGTGTTATCAGGGAATTTTTGTTTAGATTTACACGCTCTTGTATTTTTCATTAGTCAATGGGTTCTATTCCACATTTTCGACCTTGAATTCTTGATCGTATCATTTTTTTTTTCATCCGATTTTCCGAGAAAATTGTCATCATTTTCTGCTACCGTTGGGTCGAGGTCAGAAGACAGGTGTCATTCCGACGAGAATTGATCGTTTTGAACTCGTTTCGCGCTATTTAAAACACCCCGCCACCCGCATTTTTCATCTTTGATCTCAACTCTTTCGTGGACCCAACTTCTCAGACGGTTGTTGATCAGCTAGAGAGCGTCAAAAGGGCGGAGATGCTGAGATTTTCTGTGTGTCTTTCGGTTGATTTTCGCTCGATCTTGGACATTGGTAACGCGTTCTAGGGATCACTTAAGAGTTTTGAGGCTACTAGAGTGGTCACTAGATATAGGCCATTCCGCGCCAGCTTGTCACGTTTTTCTTTCCGCCAAAAGGTCAGGTCAAATTTAACCAACTTTCGCTTCAAGACCTTTTTTTCTTGCCGTTATAAAAGCAGAAATTTGATCTAATTCGGTATACGGTCTTTTTGGCGGGAAGGAAAACGTGACAAGCTGGCGCGGAATAGGCTATACGCCTCAACTCGTTCGTTTTGCGTTACCAATGTCCGAGAAGTAGTGATCTTCAAAAAGTTCATTACCGTTTGATTTTTCGAAATATTGCTCAGATTATCAGCAAACCTCTCATCTGTGCACACTATCTCTTTAGTCGTTTCAAGACTCTTTCCTTTTAAATTTTTTTTTTCTCTAGTCTTTGTCTCATAATCACATAGTTTTCATGACAAATTGTGTTTTAGTCCGATTTTGTAAACAAAAAACCAATGGGGTTAGGGGGAAAAAATCCGAAAAAGTGGTCCCTGTAGGAGTTCAGCTTTTGAAGCTCAAGGGGTCCCTATAGGGGTCGTTCAATTTAATTCAAAAAAGGGCTTTTTCTTTAGTTTTCCGCATGGGAATGCTTCTTCGCCTAGAGTTCATAAAATTATCGACTCGCATAGGGACCCTATAGGGACCACTTTCGCAAGCTTTGGTGGCCCCTATAGGGGTTGGTAAAGTGGTCCCTCGAAAGGACTCTCCAAGGGCCTTAAAGTTGCCCCTATAGGAACCACTCTAGAGCTCCTAAGATCTCTGATTCTCTGAAATTCAGTTATATTTTTCACTCTCTGATATCTATTTTGAATGCCGCGAAATCACTTTGAACACGGCAAGGAGTCGTTTTGCGCACTTTTCTAAAAAATAAAAAAGTGTTATTAAAAAATTATAACGTTACAAACAACATCAATTTCCGATTTCTAGCCAATTTCAGACAACTTTTCTTGAATTTTCGCTTTTGTTACAGAAATGGCTCCTCACTACAAGTTGTACTATTTTGAATCGCGCGGATTGGGCGAAGTTTCTCGACAGGTGATTTTTAAGAAAACTATTTTATCATTAAAAAATTTCGCAGCTGTTCGCCTTAGCCAAAGTCGAGTATGAGAACATCAGAATTCCGAAAGATCAATGGCCGACTCTGAAAAATGGTAACTTATGGTATTTAGTTTGATGTTTTCAATTTGGTATATCTAGAAACCCCATTTGGCCAGGTTCCAGTTTTGGAAGTAGACGGAGTGAAGATTCCACAGTCTTTGGCCATTGCCAGGTACCTCGCTAGGAAGTTCGGTCAGTCATTTTTGTTTTTTTGAAGTTTTTGAACATCGGTAACGTATACTAGACACGCCCGGGACGTTTCTAGTGTCCGCTTTAGTAGTCAACCTCTTAAGTGATCCCTAAAATTCCTCAGAAACGTCCGGAAAAGCCCCGACGTAGGGTTTGGGCCTCAATTCTTATTGAAGAAAAATTTTTAGTGACCACTTCAGTAGCGTCCACCTCCTAAGTGATCCCTAGAACTCCGCAGAAAGGCTCGTATAAACCGACCTGCCGTGGGATTCAGGCCTGGATTTTTTTCGGGAAAGCTTCTAGTGACCCCTCCAGCAGCGTTATACCCTTAAGGGATCTCTGAATTCCTCAAAAATGTCCGGATAACTCGCCGAGGGATTTGGGCCTCAACTTATTTTTTTCGGGAAGTTTTTTTTTGGATACTTTCTAGTGACCTCTTTAGTAGAGTCAGCCTCTTAAGTGATCCCTAGAACTCCCCAGAAACGCCCCGGTAGACCTGCCGTATGTTTTGTGCCCTCAATGTTTTTTGGAAAGTCGGGCGGCTCAGATCAGGCTTTGTAGGCTGACCGGGCCGGCCGTCACACAACCCCAATCCGAGTCCCTTTCAGGCTACGCTGGCGAGACTCCAGAAGAGGAAGCGCTGGTCGACGCGTTTGCCGACCAGTTCAAGGACTTCTACGTCCAGATCCACGACTTCTACTACCGGGCTGGTGGATTCGAACAAGGCGACGTCGAAGAAGCCAAAAATCGGGCTTTGATCCCAGCGAGGGACAAGTTCCTTCCACTCCTTACGAAGTTCTTGAGGAAAAGCAATTCAGGTGAGTCGAATTGTTCTCGGCGGGGATTTGATCGAATTGTTTATACCTTTTGCCGAAAAATTGTTCAAAGTATCATAGAAGCTTTTCTTTCGCACCTTGAGGCGCTAAAATTTCCTTGAAAAATCAGTGAACTGAGAAAAAAATCAACGGTTTTCTCCCTATTTTCTTACCTTGAAACCAACTCTTCTATCTTTCGGAAATAAATTTTTATGTTTATCGACTATAAATTATTTCTATTTCTCCTTCGTACCATTTTTGTAGCTCAAAAGAAACGTATTCCATCGGGGGAGAATTTTTTCATTCTGTATGATGAGGAAAAAATACAGTTAGACGTTCAACCAGCTTAGGAACTCCAGAGTGGTCCTATAGGGGCAGCATTAGGGGCTCTTAAAGGGCCCCCCCGAAAAACTAAAAAGAAAACCTTTTTTTGAATAAAATTGAACGGCCCCTACAGGGTCCACTCAAGCTTTAGGAGCTAAAGGGTCAGACCTAAACCCCTATAGGGACCACCTTGAGTTTACCCCTACAGGGACCACTTTTTCGGTGTCTTTAGGGGCTGTTTTCCACCTGACCCCTATAACGACCACTCTAAAATTCCTAAAAATATTCAATCTCGCTCAAGAAAACTTAGTTTTTGAGCAAAACTTTAAAAAAGATATTTCTGAAAGCTCGCAACTCGGGAATTTTCCGTATGAGCTTCTAAGAAAACAGCCTCAACTTTCTTTAATGCATTCCCATTTGTCCAGGATTCCTTGTCGACAGCGGCTTGACCTACGCCGACTTGATAATCGTCGACAACATGACTTCTATCATTGGATGGTACCCTGAGTACCTTCAGAACTATCCTGAGGTTGGCTCTTTGGAAAATTTCAAGTTAAATTTGAAAATTTCCAGATCCAAGCCTGGTATGAAAAGGTCGTCAATGTGCCGGCCATCAAGTCCGAGATTGAGAACCGCCCGAAAACTAACGCATAATATTTTTTCTGTAAAAATGGACGCTTTAATTGAAGTTCGAATAAATGGAGATGATATTTCAGTGATGAACTTTGTTTTTGAAAAAATTTTTGATAAGGAGCTGGCACTGATAAAGTGTTATTAAACAAAGATCAAAGACTTTTTCGAGGTTATATTTTAAAAAAATTCGACAATATTAATGAGCAGAAAATGAAAAAAAGAGCTTTTTGACAAAAAAAATCAAACGGATTATATGCGTGAAAAAAAGCTTTGAAAAAAAATTAAAAATAAATTAAATTAAATTAAGGCATAAATTAAAATTTATAAAATTAGAAAAAAAAAACGAAAAAAACTTCTTCAAAAGCTGCAAAAAAGCCTTTTTCCTTGGCAATTCAAAAAAAATACACAAGGAAAAGCTTCGCAAAACTGTTGGCCGTACGAATTTTTCGGGAATATTGGAAACATAGTGACAAACATTCTAATCGCGTTTCCCTCAGTTTTGATAGGTGAGGAAATTTCTGGACCATCGGAATTATCTTTCCGCTTTTGTCATCATATTCCGTTCTTTATAAGGAAAGTGCGCAGCGATGATTTCAACAGCATCATAATTTTTTTTCCTTTCGTTTTCAAAATAGTTTTCTTGTCACCAACTTCTGAAGAAATTTTCTCACGAAACCTTTAGAATCATATCATTTTTATTGATCTTCAGAATGGTCCATTATAAGCTCTACTACTTTGAATCTAAAGGTGCTGCTCAAGCCGCCCGAGATGTGAGTTTTTTCAAACTTTATCCAAAAAAAAAATTTTTTGAAGCTTTTCACCCTGGCCGGCGTTGAATTCGAAGACATTCGTTATTCGGACGAAGAATGGGGATCTCACAAGCACGGTTTGTATTTTTATCTAGTTTTAACTTGTATAAAAAAACGATTGAAAACGCAATTTCAAAACTAATCAACTTCCAAAAAAACCCTTTCAGAAATGCCGTTCGGACAGATGCCGGTTCTAGAAGTTGACGGTCTTCAGATTCCTCAGTCGATGGCCATTAACAGATATCTTGCCAGGAAATTCGGTATGAAATAGGGTTAGAACAGGCATGTTCTAAAACACGAGCGGTTGTGGGGCACGAGCGGCACGACCGTTACTAAATCACGAGCGGTTTCATTTTCGCTCCTTCGCGAACGCTTCTAAATCACGAGCGTTTTTTTGGCTTATCGTTCTGTTCGAGCGTTTCTAAACCGCGAGCGTTTCATTTTAATCATTTTTCTTTATTACCATCCAAGTGTGTGTTTTTTCATATTTCTACCTTCTTTTTTTCTCCTGGAATAAAAAAATTTTGACGATCTTATATGCACATTTTTTTCGCTCAATTTGTTGATTGATTCACATTTGAGGTTCATATAATGGATTTTTTTCTAAGTTTTTTTGCGGTCTCTATAATTTCACAGATTCTGCGTATGGCAAAATTTTTTTCTAATAGTTTCATCTGATTTTTCATATTCAATATTTCACAGTTTTTTTGCGTATGATAAACTAATATTTCACAGATGTCTCGCATGAAAGTCAATATTTCTCAGATTTTTGCTTATGACAAATTAAAAAAAATATGAACTTTTTTTCTCTGATTCTCATCTGTGTTTTTCTTGCAAAAAAATCTAGCTAGTATAGTCATTTTATAAGCGCTGTTTGGGCGGAATTATAATACGAAATTATAAAATTTAGTAACAGGCCGCTTGCTGCATTTTTCTGGAACAACGGGAGCTTGCTGCATTTTTCTGGTTATCGTCCGAAGCCCACTATGTCGTAAGTTTCTTCCCTGCCTTCTCACTGATAGTTTTTTTAAAAGCAATTACACACCGCCCGAAGATTTTCCGGATGATTTTTTTTTTTATTTCCCGGATGATTTTTTTTTACGATAATTTGAAGTACATATTTCCTTGAACAGTTTTTGCTAGGATTATTCGAACTGAATTCTTTAATATAAACTCTGATTTATACATTGATTTCCTTTTTTTCTATATTTTTCATTTTTCCAATCTGTTTCGTTATACGGCTGTCATTCACCGATGAACCACCAGACGCTTATGGCATTTATTTCATTCATTCGCTACGGTTATTAATTTATTTTTTTGATACTTCGTAAATTTCGTATTTTTTCTCGTTTCATGATAAATATTTTTCAAAGCTTGAAACGAATAAATTTTTTTGGTAGTATCTCCAAAACTATTCTAGCGGGTAAGAGGAGAATAAAATATGAATGGCATCAATTCGAATATGAGATTCTATTACCAGAAAAAAATTTTTGAGAGAAAGTATTAGAAAAAAATTTGCTATACGCAAAATTTGAGAAATATTGACTTTTTATGCGAGACGTCTGTGAAATATTAGTTTATCATACGCAAAATCTGTGAAATATTGAATATGAAAATCAGATGAAATTATTAGAAAAAAAATTTGCCATACGCAGAATCTGTGAAATTATAGAGACCGCAAAAAAACTTAGAAAAAATCCATTATATGAACCTCAAATGTGAATCAATCAACAAATTGAGCGAAAAAATGTGTATATAAGATCGTCAAAATTTTTATTCAAGGAGAAAAAGAAGGTAGAAATATGAAAAAAACACACTTGGATGGTAATAAAGAAAATGATTAAAATGAAACGCTCGCGGTTTAGAAACGCTCGAACAGAACGATAAGCCAAAAACGCTCGTGATTTAGAAGCGTTCGCGAAGGAGCGAAAATGAAACCGCTCGTGATTTAGTAACGGTCGTGCCGCTCGTGCCCCACAACCGCTCGTGTTTTAGAACATGCCGTTAGAACAAAAACCGGTATTTGAAAAAAAAAACCCAAAACGTTTCAATATGCGCTCTGTGGAGAAGCGTCAGTGGAACGTCGTGAGAGGAAAAAAATCTGAATGGAAAAACAAATTTATATTGTTTTTTTTTCTGTTTGGCGTGTTCATCAGAGAAACGGAACTTGCTTCAAAACGAAAAATCTTGTTCACAAAAGCTGGTCCAAAACAGTACTAACTTTTGTTTGGGAGAAATTTTTTGCGTTTCGAAGTATATTTTTTTTGTCCGATGAACACGCCATTCAAGTTTCTACTTCTGTATTCGTTTATAGCGTATTTAACTAGCAGACGGAGAAGTACTTAATTTTGTTTCTAAGAATTTTGCTTCGTGTCAGAGATGAACAAGCCATAATTAAAATTTATTTTTTTTTGTGAAGTACAAGTTAGCTAAAAAAAAATATTGCCTTCGGTATTTGTACACCAGGCTTGTGCGTCAAACCGAGCGGCGCGAGCCGGCATAGCCAGGACATTGGGCTTTCATCTAAAAAAAAAAGCCTGCGCGGGCTCGGACTTCAAAAAAAAATCACTTGGGAAAAGGCCGGGTGCCGATAGGCTAACGGACCGGCCCTCGCACATGCCTGTTGTACAGCTTGCCGTGAATTGACAAGAGAATTATCATTGGAGCGCTCTTTTTAATACCTCTTTGAATTATTTTTTTTTTCATTCCTCTTCTCGCACATCGGTATAGGCCATTCCGCGCTAGCTTGTCACGTTTTTCTCTCCGCCAAAAGGCCAGGTCAAATTTAACCAACTTTCGCTTCAAGACCTTCGCCGTCATAAGAGCAGAAATTTGATCTAATTTGGTGTACGGTCTTTTTGGCGGGAAGAAAAACGTAAAAAGCTGGCGCGGAATAGACTATAACGCCAAACGGACGTGCTCCGGACGTTTATGAGCCATTCTAGGGATCACTTAAGAATGCTGACGCTATTACAGTGGTCACCAGAAATGCTCCGAAACGTACGATCCGCGTTACCAATGTCCGATCTTTTTTTTTTCATGCCCATTTCGAAGGTTCCGCGAAATTCAAAGTAGCGATCATACAATGACAAGTGATTTCAGCCATTGGGAATTTACTGTTTCTCTTTCCTCTTTTGCAATTTAACACAGAACAAAAAAGCCCTCAGCTGCTTTTAAGAGCCTTGGGCTAGTACCTGGTATTCCTTGGCCGGCCTCGCAGTTGATCTCCCTTTTTGCACTCGTTTTCCGCACTTCCAACTTTGCAGTGTCGGGCAAAGTCGAAATGGTGTTTATTGGTCGCTAAAAAGAAGAGGCTCAGAAAAACCGCAGAAAGACAGCAAAAATAGTCCCTTTATTAGCATTCTATTTTTTCTAGATTTCTAGAGACTCAAGAAATTGTGGAAAAAGGGATAGGCAGCAAAAACTGGTGTATAAAAGCCGATGAAATAGAGCAAAAAGACAGCAAAAAGTGAGCCTCTGTCCCCTTAAAAGAAGCATTTCTATGGATCTTTATTCCAGCCTTTCCGACTTTGCTTATGATATCGGAACAACATAGCTTTAATTCAGTGTTAGTCATGTCTTTTCCTCATTATAAAAATTTTTCCAAAATAAAATCTTCGAAACCTCAGTTTAATTGTTCCATTGGTCCAGTCGATCGATCACTTTTCGAGTACATTTTTTGTTTCCATTTTTCATCTGTTGCTCCGGATGCTCTTTCTGAAGGAAAAAATAATTAGAAAATAATTTTCCAAATATCAAACTGCTTTATTTGAAGTTGTTGTCGAATATCTATCGACTGATCAGAAGAAGTTCGTTGAGAGCTTTCTGCAATAATTTCAACATTGAAAAAAGCAACTCGGTTGCATTATTTGAATAACAACGTTTTGAATAATTAGCTTTGTGAATTCTTAAGTAAGTTAGGAAGTTTTAGGCAATCAGAAGAACTAACTAGGCGGTGCGCTAGAGCTCCGCTCGGCCTTGTCAAAACTAAGTATCCTAGGCGCCGAAGGCCGTGACGGCATTTTCCGTGGGGGTCCCATCATCGCTTTGTCAGCATCGCGCTGCCAACAGTTTGTGCTTCAGCCACAGGAATGGGCTTCGGCGTGACATTGCGTATCCGACTTGGAAGCAAGAAGGATCGGCACTCCGGGAGTCCCACGGGCCTAATCTACTAGCGCTTACGACTAAGAGAACTTTTTTGGAATTTAGAATTTTTGGAAGTTAAAAACTCATCTTGACGTAGAGTGCAGAAGCTAGACGGAGTCGTGAGAGAAGCAAGAACGATATTTGAAACCAGGTCATACAAGAAGAAATGAAATGTTTTCACGTGGTTTTTGTACGTTTTGTTTTTTCGAAAATGACCTTGCCACGGGGTTCACGTTTGGTTTTTTGCAGAGAATGAAGTTTTCATTTTGAATAAAATTCTGGGTCATATGACGTGAAAATTATAGCTTGTGGAGACACTAAAGAACTTTTTAAAGTTCAAACATTTTAATTGTTGAGCTCTTTGGTTTTTTTTTTCCGCGGTTTTGTCTCTTTGTAGAAACATAATTCTAGTAGCATAAAGCCAAATTAAGTTTACTGATGTAATTTGAAGTTTTCATTATATAAATAATCTGAATTACATTATTTTTCTTGTTTTTTTTGATGGCTTTTCGAACTTAATTAAACGATCCGCCATACAAGGTTTTTTTTAATTTTGTGCTATTTATCTGTTAATTCTTTCATATTTATGCTTGTTCGATAGGAGGTCTTAAGTGATCCCCAGAATCGCTCATAAACGTCCGGAGCACGTCCTTTTGGCGTTACCAATGTCAGAGAAGATATAAGAAAAAACAAATAGATCAAAGAGGTGTGAAAAATAGCGCCCCAATGATAAATCTCTGGTCAGTTTACGGGGGGCGAGCTGTACAAATACCAGATGCTAGAAAATATACTTCCAAAACTTGAAAAACGCTTTTTTTCACTATGTCACCGATTTTCAGGCTACGCCGGCAAAAATCCAGAAGAAGAAGCGCTGGTCGATGGATTCGCTGATCAATATTACGACTTCAAAGGCGCCATCAAGACGTACTACTACGTGGTCGCTGGCTGGGAAAAAGGAGACGTCGAGAAATTGGAGAAAGAGATTATGATTCCGGCTCGCGACAAGTTCTTCGCCCTCATCACCAAGTTCTTGAAAAAGAGCAAATCTGGTGGGTACCGAAACTTCGAGGGGCATTTTCGGTCTTTTTTATGTTCGGAAAAAAACGGCGGGTCAGAGCGCACACCTTAGTTCATAGTCTGTCCAGATTTTGAATTTCAAGTCGTAGATCAAGCTCCGCCCCAAAAGTTGCGATAGACCAATCAGAAAGCGAGCCGAATGACGTCATTTTACTAGAGAGCAGGGTAAACTTGGAGAGGTCAGCATCGAGTTCTCCTCGTTCTATACGCTGTCTAAGGACTTGCGCGCTGGCCAATTTACCAGGAAACGGCGAGCCTTAGACAGCGTGTGGAACGAGGAGAGTTCTACTCTGGCCCCTCCAAGCTTACCGGGCTCTCTAGACTATTGCATGCCCCTTTCCTTCTAAAATCATTCACGTACTTTTTCCAGGATACCTGACCAACGGAGGCTTAACTTTCGCCGACATTCTCATCGCTGAACATATCCTCACGATGAACGGCTTTTATCCAGACTACGTCAAAGGTTTTCCAGAGGTATCGATCCAAAATTGAAGAAAAGAAGATGAAATAAAAAGTTTCAGATTGATGAATATTACCAGAAGGTCCTCAACGTCCCAGCTCTCAAGGAGTACATCAAGACCCGCCCGCAAACTGATAGCTGAACCTTCTTTTCATGACCAATACTTACTTACTTACTTACTTACTTAGATGGTCCATCTTCGCTTTCGACCTTTTATTGCCTTTTATTGATCGAAGCGTGGACCACACGTTTTCCAGGAGGTCTTATGCAATCGGTCATCCAGTGTTGTCGTCCTGGTTGACTGGTATTCTTGCGAAAAAGTTCCATCCGTGGTGTTGAACGTGTTATAGCATAATTGTGGTCTTATTATCCTTTTTGCCTTGCCAGGGCTAAAAAAGACCGCCCATTCTGTTAGCAGAAGCAAGCCGAATTGCGTGACCGGTGTACCGTTAGCCGCCATAAATGGCGTTGCCTCCCCATCACCGCGTAGAGGTGGTACTTGAAGGGGTCATGACCAATAAATGGTATTATCTCGACGAAAAATTGAAAACTGAAAAATTTATCTTCAAAAAAAACTCTCATGTCCATAATAATCGGCTATCATGTCCTCTATGGGGGCCGTTTTTTCAAGCTTTAGTGGCCCCTATAGGGGTAGGTTATGTGGGGCTCCGAATAAGTCCAAGAAGAAGAATTGAAACAAAAGCTAACTTTGAAAGATTTTATCTGGGTTCCAAAATTTTTCTGAGAAAATGATGGTTTTTCTTGACCAGAGGGACAAGCTATATGTAGCTCAATCGGAGACACTTTTCGACTTTTGAGGGTCCATAACTTTTTTCACAAGCCTCCGCGGCAGTTTTTGAAACCAGATTTGGAATCAGCGTGAAAAACTACATCTAGAAAACTTGGTTTCATTGCGACCGGAGACCATTCCCTGGTCAAGCTGGTTCTTCTGAAAATGAGCGAAAAAAAGTTGATCTGTTCTGTAAATCAAATAGAAAATGTCATGTTCGCTTAACCTGAAAGTCGTAAATCAGAAGGAGAAGCTTCTCTCCTGACAAAAGTTCATCCCAAAAAAAGGAAGGATCCCTTGCAAATGACCCCGGGGCGAAAATGGAAAGCGAGAGAAACAAGCGAAATGTCGCAAGAATGCGAGAAAGTGTTGGTCAGGTCGCGCCACCGCAGGGGGCGCACTTTCGGTTTCGATTATCAACTTTGGTGGCTCTTTCGGGAGAGGAAGATATATATGGGTCATTGGGAAGGCGAAAGCCGGAGGGGGGACATTTCCATTGTTTCATCTTTTCGCCTAAGCCTTTCCGACGGGACGCCGGGGTCGAAGACGTTTTGGAGACGTCGGCCAGATGATGTCGCTTTCGTTGCCACTGCTTCTGACGGCTGCCGTCGTCGGCTGCCTGGCTGATGGCAAAGGTTTTTGGCTTTTTGGATTTAACACACTTTCTACGTGATTTTCGAAATGTGTCAAAATCAGTGATCACATAAAATTTTTTTCGTGATTTTTATTGATAAAATTTGATTTTTTTTTTCATCATTTGTTTTTACCAGCTTGCTGAGGTCTTCAAAGAAGGGTTTGGTTCAAGGTTAATAATCATCTCGTGCCGATTTTTACTTTTTAAGCTAATCACTGATGAATTTTGTACTTTTGAAGCCGTTTTAAACGAAATCGTACCGTAACTTGGTCATTAAAAGTGTTTAAAGGAGCATATGTTTCAAAATTAATAATCCTCTTGATTTTAATTTTTAGGTTAATCACTGATGGATTATGAACTTTTGACGCTTAAAAATAAACAAATTCCTACCGCAACTTGGTCATTGAAACTTTTTTTGTTAATGTTTAATGGAGCATGTTTGTTCAATTGATAATTCTATCGTCTAAGGCAATCAGTAATGAATCCTGTACTTTTGAAGCTGTTTTGAACGTTTTACTACTGATAACTTGGTCATTAAAAGTTATTAGAGACCCAATTCTCTTTAACGAGTTCAGCTGAAATTTTTGTTGATTTTTTTCTTTCAACAGTCTTGGATTTGTACGAAAAAAGCTCCAGTTAAAGATTAAATTTAAAAAATCCCTTGAGAGGTCTCGAATAAGAGGTCGAATGCTTGTGAAGATTGGAAAACAGACTTGAATCTTTTTTTTGCAAAGCTTTTGTTAATTTTGAATTTTTTTTTTCCATTTCTACATGATACTACATAGGCAAAGTCAGAAAGAGTGGAAAAATGCTCCAAAAAATGTACCTTTAGGTGAGAAAGGCTCCTTTTTTGCTGCCTTTTTGCGCCATTTCATCGGCTCTTATGCACTTTTTTGTTGCCTCTCCCTTTTTCCACCCATTCTTGAGCCTTTGAAATCCTAGAAAAAATGAAAGGCTCGGTAAAGGGACCTTTTTTCTTCCTTTCTGCGGCCATTTTTGAGCCTCTCCCTTTCAGCGGCCATGATCCATCGATCCGACTTTGCCCGAGTATGCAATAAACATTGAAAAAAAAGGCTGCTCCGAGTCATTGAATTAAATAATGATTTTTTTTTTCTAGTAAGTTGGTCTTTTTTAATTTCCCTTCAAAATTTTTTGCATCGATTCGTTTCAGTTCTCCGGCCATGCTTCGAACGGTATCCAAACCATCGGCTGGTCAACGTCCAGCCTTACCACAGCGAGTGGAGAATGAAAACCGAGGATTCTTGCCTTCTTTTCTGCGCTCAGTCATCGGTAGGCATTTTTTAACTTATTCCGAGTAATTAGTTTTAGTTTTGATAACCTTATTAATTAATTGATTTTTTTTTTTTTTTCATATTCCCCATGAACAGCTTTCTCTTGTAAAGTTCTTGTCTTCCATTATTTTTTTTATTCAAATGGGTCATGTTTTGAATCTTTTTCTTATTGCTTCAACAAAGCTTTTGCTCAAAAAAAAATGTACTGATCAGAAAAAGAAAGATTATAATAAATTATAGTCTGATTAAAAAGTGTTTCAAAAGAAATTTCAGGAGCTAAAATATCCTTGGTAATTTTTTTTCGCCTCGAGACCTTTTCATGGTCCTTTAAACATCAGGGATATTAACTTTCACTAAATGTAAAAATAATTATCTGCGAAATTTTCATGGATTGTATCATTATCTCAACAGAATGATACTTTTTTTCATTCGTTTAAAAAAATTCAGTCTTTTTTTCAAGTTTTTCAAAAAAATCCAATTTTTGTAAGCTCAATACTTGCCTCCTTTCTCAAAAAAATATCAAAAAAATATAAAAAAACTTTTTTTGCAAACAATGTTCATCAAATCAATCCGAATAGCTGACTACCATTTTTTTCCGCTCTTTTTTTGTCAATTTTTTTAAGAAAAAAATCCCTTTTTGTTCATCAAGCATGAGCGAACAGAGAAAGCACCACAGAAAGGGGATAATAAGTAACAGAAAAAAATTTTTTTCTCGATGGTTCTATAGAACAATTATTGGTTTCCTTCAAACAGAGGCTTCCAGACTCGCTGCCGCTCGATCGTCTTCGATTCCGTGCAGCACATCTGCCACTACTTCCTGGACGAAGGCGTCGACCAGGCGGTGATCGCCGCGAAGATGGTCTACCTGCGCGTCGCCGGCAAGGAATGCCTCGGTTCGACCTTTTGCTGCTGTTCTCAAACTAGCTGTAATTAGGTTGACCCGTGTGTTTGGACTTTTTACGCGCCGGATCTCCGAGTGATTGACGACGCCGGGCGGAAATGAATTCACGGTTGATTTGCAGACGAGAAAGTGGATCTGGCGGCGTCGGCCGTCGAGATCCCGCCGGCTGCACCGCCGACGCTCCTCCTGCCTCAGATTCTGGAGACCAACCAGCTCGAGCCGACGACCGAGGAGCCCGAGTTTGAAGTGCCGCTGGCTGAGGAGCCGACCACTGAGGCGACGGTCGTTGACGTGGCTCCGGTGACGGAGATCCAGGAGCCTAGCTCCGCTCCAGAAGCTCCAAAACCAGTGGTGGAAGAGCCGGAGCCTGTGGCTCCAGCTCCAGCTCCAGCTCCAACTTCAGCTCCAGCTCTTCCAGAAGACGGCATCAGCGATGCTGAGCTGGACAAGCAACTGGGTCAGGTCATGCAGCCAACGCAGTTTGCTGGTTAGTAATGGTTCCATTGCCTCGTTCAAGCAGAAACTTAAGTAAAAGCAGCTGATTAGATTGGAGAGTCCACTTAAGAATAGTTGGCAACCCTAGAGGAAACCCTTGGAATTATTTAGCTTCTTGTAATAAACTCTAGTGGCCACTTCAAAAGCTTTCTCGAGGACTTCTCGGAGAGGACACTTAAGTGGCCACTGAAACCGTTTCTATAGAAGACAATATTTTACGTCTTAGTGGCCACTATAGTAGTTTTTAGTGGTTTAGTAGCACCTTTCAGATTCCTAAAGAGGCCAATAAATCTTATTCTCTGTGGCCACTGATTCGACTACTATAGTGGCCACTTAGACGTCAACGCCCTAAAGTAACCCCTCAACGTTTTCCCAGTATAAAAACGAGAGTTTTTTTCAGACTACTTAAGGGACCACTTAGTGCGTTAAGAATTAGCGAAACTTGTATTTCCGGTAACCTGAAAGCTTCAAGTTTACTAATAGGTACCTTTTTGTTCAATAGGTCAGAAAATATAGGCCATTAAAAGCTCCAGAAGCGAAGAACTTCAATTTTTATATTTAGAGGAGTCACTATTCGTTTTAGGATTCTACAATTTGCAACTTTACTTTGAAAAAAAAACCACGAACTTCAAGAGTTTAAAACTCCCTGAAGGGATCACTAACTATACCAGCAGCCTAAAAGCTTTTTCTCCTTTTCACTGAGAGATTTCAGCTGTCAGAAAATCGAACTATTCAGGATCTTTCGGCGAGGAAGAAAAAATCGCCAACAATGGCGTTTATCGGGACATCAAGGGGCCAAACGAAAACCGGTGGCAATCATCCGTCGAGAAAGTTGATGAAACTGTGAATATTATCAGTTTTCAAACTGGAAAAAGAAATTAACTCTACAGAAAAAAGTGACGATGCTGTCCAATGAAGAAATCAACGAGAAAATGACGAGAAAACTCGAGAAACTGAAAATCAACGACCCGGAACGATATGCAAAGCTCATGGGCGATGATGAGGATGTAGGCTTCATTCTTGGATTGATGATAGAAAAAATGATAATTCAGTTGATCCCGGCAGAAGCTATGAAGAATCAAAAAGAAGAGGAGGTGGAGCCGATTTCGAAGCGGAGAATGATGGTGGGAGTTATTTTTGAATTATTGAATTATTTTTTTTTTGAGTTTCAAATGAATTTTAAAAAATTCGATTTTTTTGAGCTCGAAACGGTTCTGACTTTTTTTGTGCTTCATAACTTTTTCATTTTCCACATAAAGCGCGGTACCAAAAAAACGAATTCTGTTTTCCACAGTTTTTCTGTTTTTTTTTTCGTTCTCCGCGGAAAATGAAACTTTTGCGGAACGGAAAAGTGAAAAAAGAAGTTGCTTCGAAATAGCGAAAAAAAAGCGATTTGTGAAACAACAACAAGAGCGCTCTAATGCTAAGAGAGCATAAAGTCGAAATTTGATGAATTTTTTTTTTGTTTTTCTGCGTTCTGTCCTCCGCGAAAAATATTTTCATTTCCGCCCATACCTAGAAAGTTTATTTATCCGGAATTTTCAAGAAATTTATCTATTTTTTAATCATATATTTTTTTGAAGAACGCCGGTGCCAAGGTGATCCAGTTCAATGAGAATCAAATGGACATTCGCAGGAAGCCGGCAAGTGCCAGGCCTCAATTGAAGGTATATTTGAAGCGTCAGTTTCGACTTGAATGATTGATCATCTTCAGATGGTCACCATTTCATCGACTTCTTATATCCAGAAAGCCAAATCCTTTGCGGACAGTTTGAAAGAAAATGAAGATATAGAGGAAAGCAGTCTGCAGGCGCCACGGCAACAAGTGACTACAGGTAATTTTAAAAAAACTAGTAAAAATTTTTTTAATTCTGAGGTTTAATTTTATCTGTTAAAATTTCCTTTTCAAATTCAATGTTCCTAAAGCTCACTAGAAAATCATTTTTTTCACCTAACTTCAAGATTTTTTTGCTACTGGTTACTGTAAAATCTTCATTTTTTTAGTTTTAATATTTTTTTCTCTGATCGTTTCAAGACTCTTGCTATGCCTTTATGACCAGGTCTCTCTTGAATTAATATTTTTAAAAGGCTCTTTTTCCATAGTTTGTTATCAAATTTGTAATAATTACTCACTAGGTAATTTTTAAAAATATTTTCTCAACCTATGGTTCAATATTTTTATTTGTTGAAGTCTATTCCGCGCCAGCTTGTCATTTTTTTCATTTTCCTCTGAACTACAGAATCCTTCCCTCTGATACGCGCGCCCTGTCTCTGTTAATGCGCCTTTAAAATAACTAAAATTTTAGTCTCTATCAAAAGCGCATACACAGGGCCGCGTGCATAGAGTAGAAGGGTTTGGTGAATGAAATTTGGAAAAAAAAAATTGTGAACTTCTCTCAAAATCAAAATTGATTCCTAAATAGCCTAAAATATTTTGAAAGGTCTTTTATTCAACTTATTCGCTCGACCAATAACGTTTTTAAAGTAATTACCATTCAAATTTGTCTCCGTCTCTTCAAAATATGGCTTTCTTTCAAATCTCTGACGATTTTTTCTGTGAATTTATGTATGTGTGTGAATGTGTGTATATATTGTGAATTTTTATGGTGAGTCGAAAATTGCAGAATGCCGACGAGACGACGTTCCAGTTTACGTCAGCTTCGAGAACAGCGAAAGTGCGCAGGAAGAAGCCGTGGACAGCTCCCAGGCCAAGTCAAAGAACCAATGTCAGAGAATGTGCGAGCAAACGGTTTCTCTTGTAGTTTTATCGTGGTTGATAAGTTTTCCTAGAACTGTCGATCGTTCACGTTCTTCGAGAAGCACTCCCAATGCATGCTCAACATGCAAAGCGACGGCGTCACCCTGAGAACGTCGTCGGCCGGAGATTTCTCCGCCAGCGTCACGACCAAGTTCTGCTATCCTAGTGGGTTTCAGAACTATTCGAACGTCGTTTGAAACTGTTATTCCGCGAAATTCGAAGTTATCTTCGACTCTCCGAAATTTAGTTATCTTTCTCGCTATGTCCAGGTTGAATGTCTATGACGTCATTGAACGCTCTTTGATTGATTTATTGCACCATTAGGGGCGGAGCTTGAGCGAATACTTATAATAATATTTCTTTCATTCATAACGGGAAATAGTGACTTGCAAATTAAAAATCGGAACATATTATAACCATTATTTTGATATTTTTGAGACCAGAAAAAAGGAAAACCGCACGAATTTCAGTTAGAAAATGCCCGAAAATTCCAAAATTTTGATTTCTCGCGTAAAGTCGCCATATCGCTGTAGGACCCAATTTTTTTCCAACGGCTCCCGGAATTTTTATTTCGCGAATTTTTGAAATCATTTTAAACGAATAACAATTTTGATATTTTCAGAGTTACTTTCGAGCACATTTTTATTCAATCTCATATGAATCGCTTCAAAATGCGTCTAGCGTATTTCACTCTTGCGGAAAACGTTTTTTTCGCTTTTGAAAAATATATTTACGCTTATTCCGTTGCGTTAACCATTTTATTTTGCATCTCATGAAAGTAATTCGTTTTTGGACTTGAATCTTAACTCCTCAACCAGTACTAAATTTTTAAGCTTATAAGGTTAAGAATATCGAAAAATCTAACTTTCACTTATTTAATACAGTTAGAAACGAGGTCAGATAAAGTAAGTGTAAGGATAGAAATTAGTGATATTGAAAAAACCTTAGGAGCTTCAGAGTGGTCCCTATAGGGGCGACCTTAAGGATCCTTGGAGGGCCCTCTAGGGACCATTTCACCAACCCCTATAAGGGCCACTAAAGCTTGCAAAAATGGTCCCTTTAGGGGTTTTAGTTGGGGATTGAGCGTTTTTTGAATGAAGTTGAAAGACCTCTATAGGGTCCACTTGAGCTTGAGGGGCTGAGGGGTTAGACCCTACACCCCTATAGGGACCACTTTTTTGGCCCATATAGGTGTTGTTCTCCCCCCTAACCCCTTTAGGGACAGCTTTGAAATCCCTAAAAAAAAATCGATAACTTAAAAAAAGTTTAGATAATCTGGTTGAATTTTAAAAAAAGCTGAGTTTTGGTCTTTTAACTCATGAAAATCTGGGATTGCAAGTACACGCGTTGTCGAATTTTTGACATTTTTTCTTCTATCTCAGCAATTGTTTAAAAATAATTTATGCAAGTAATCTTCAGGATCGTTCTCAATGTTCAACGGATGTTCCAACTTTGTCGCCTTCCGCGATTATTCTCTAGAGGTACTCAGAAGCCCTGAAATTCAAAAATGAGCTTTATCGTTGAAGGTATCGGCTCGGGAAGAGTTTGAAGACCTTCCCCATGGCGACGACGCCTACAAAGGAATGCAACTTTGCATCGAACTTTGTGTTCTGAGCGACAAGTACTCTTGCAAGGTTTATTCGAAGAAACATGACGAGTAAAACGTAATTTTCAAGATATTGCTAATGTATAGCTTCTTTATTAGCGATTTCAATTCTGATTTGCGCAAAACTTGGTCTTTTTTTTTCAAATTGGAATTTCCAATTCGCACCAAGGAAGAAGAGAGTCGGTGTACCCGCTGTCCGATTTTTTTTTCCTGCAAAACTGACCCTATACTAATTGAACCAGATTTCGCTTCAAGACCTTTGCTCGGATATTTGTAACGCGAATCGGAACTGTCGGGGCATTTCAAGTGACCACTTTAGTAGCGTTAGCATTCTTAAGTGACCCCTAGAATCGCCCAGAAACGTCCGGAGCACGTCCGTTTCGCGTTACCAATGTCCAAAATGTTTTTTTTTGCAGTTTTATAGAGCGAAAAAAGTTGGTTTTACGTTACCTTTTTTCTTTCTGAAGTGCTTTTCTTTGTCTTTTAATACCTTTTGAAAGGTGACAGTTTTGATTTCTCATGAGAAATTTCAAAAAGAAAATGAAGAATTAAACGAAAAATGATGATATTTTTTTCTTCTCGTCTTCACTTCGAATCCGTTGACTTTCTTCAAAAATAAGGAAACTTGGTACAATTCCAAGTAGACGGTTTGACAGGACATGGAAAGCTCTACAAGACGACATTGATATCTTAAACCTTATTTTTATACTGGCTTTTAAAAAAATGTAACTTTTTTGAAAACATCAGTTTTCAGTCAGCCACCTTCAACCCAACAAATGGTGTCTGCCGACTGCTGGCCGATGACTCGATGTCGATGCCGGACAATTTCAAATTCTTCGAGAACCAGGACGTTCTCTACTTTGAGAACGGCTGTAATTCTGGAGAAGCGATAGGTTGGTTCAAGAATGATTTGAATCAAAGGTGGTGTCTTTGTAAAACGCCGTAAATATTTTATAAATACGCCTAATAAGGTTCTAAAAATTAAAAAAAGGATTAAAAAAATCGAAAAATAATTTTTTTCATATAGAGTCGTTTCACGGCTAGCTTGAGACTCGAAGGGGCGTGCCTAACCAGACAATGTCTTTTGTTTTAATCGTGTCAGGACCTTTTTTCGATGGCTCAAGCCAGCCGTGAATCAGTTATACTTATGATTTGATATTGTCCATTCCGCGGTAGCTTCTCCCGTTTTTTTTCTCAAGCGAAAAAGATCGTATATCAGACTTGACCAATTTTCGCTTCAAGACCTTTTTTGCAGTTTTTCAGAGCAGAATTGCAAAAAAAAGCTGCGTTTACGGTATATTTTTTTGCTGTGATTTTCAAATGCCGCGGTCTCGCACACTACAACCAATTTCTTTGAAATGGACTTATCAGAATAAATTCTGAGACTATCCCAATTTACAGGGCGAAATTCAGAGAAGTTTGGATTTTTTACGCGCTCTAAGAATGTTTTTGCGCTTTGGAAACAGTAGGAAAATCTTCAAAAGATACCTATTCTGTTATTTTTCTGACTTCAATTTCTTTTTTTTTAGATCTAAATGACCGAAGTATAGAGCGAGTTGAGCGGAAGGAGAAACGGGAGAAGAAGCTCAAACCAGCCAAAGAGCGACCGCTCAGGTAATTCATTACCTATTTTGTTGATCAATAAATAAATAATTCCAGAAGGCTGATCGTCCAGAAGATTCGATAGAAATCGCCATCCAACTAGTCATTTTTCCATTGTTATGTACATAAACCCCTTAATAATGTTGATATTAATAATTTGATAAGCCCATTTTTTTCTCGATTGTCTTGATGTGACAATAAAGAATTTCTGAATTCGTTTCTTCGAAATACGGAAATTTTTGTTATTATTTCAAGTTTATATATTTTGAAGAGTTTTTCAAAAAAAAATTTTTTTCTCAAAAAAAAATTTTTATGTCTGCTACTTTTTCGAAAGGATGTATGCTCTACAGAAAGGTGATTCTTATCATTTTTTTCAAAAAGCTCAAAAATTATTTCCAAAAAAAGTGGAATTTCAAAATAAAGTAGATTTCAAAAAAATACGCGAAAAATCACTATTTTGATAAATTTTCTTGCTCAATTATTGAACTTTTTCAGTACCCTGTAAACTAGTTTTGGCCTAGGAATACAGTGATTTGTGTGAAAAAAAAAATACAGGTTTTTTTTACGACAAAAATCATGGGAATGGTGCTGCATGATAAAAAAGATTCAAGTTTTCAAGTTCAAACTGATTTTCTTCGATTTTGTAGGGAGGTTATCTTGTAGACGAATTTTTCCGGAGAAAAATGGCTTAATGATGAAAAAAATCGTCTATTTAACCAAATTTTTCAAGGTATTTTTTTCACTTTCAACCTTTTCTTGAAAATCGGAACTTTCTGCTAATTAAGACTATTAGAAACTTCCTCAGTTCAAAGAAAAATAGCTTTATTCTCTTTAGTGGTCATTTAAAAAGTACGGACTAAGCCTTATCGTAAGATCCAAGGAGTCCAAATTGTAGAGCCTTTTCCGGAAAAAGGGCTCAATGATAAAAAAAAAGTCCTATTTTACCGAATTTCGAAGATAATTTTTCACTTCCAACCTTTTTTTTCTTGAAAACTGGGACGTTCTGCTAATTAAGACTATCAGAAACTCCCTCAATTCAAGTTAAAGTCACTTTTTTTTCTCTATAGTGATCACTTGAAGAGAAGCCTAACAATATGATCCTGTAAAAAACAAAAATTTCTGAAAAAAGGCCTATTTCACCAAACTTCGAAGATAACTTTCCACTTCCAACTGTTTTTTCTTGAAAAAGGAAAAGTTCTGCTATTTCAGACTATCAGAAACTTCCTCAGTTCTAAGAAAAATAGTTTTTTTTTCTCTTTAGTGGTCACCTGAAAGGGACAGGCTGACTAGGGGACTACTCGGACTCGGGTACGCGTTTCGAGTTGAAACTTTGGTGGCTTATAGACCCGGGTGAGAGTACTTGGAAACAAGAGAGATTATCTGCTAAACCCCATAGGCTTCTGAGGAAAAGCTTTTTGAAAATGAACAGCTTAGGCTTGAAAATTATCACATTTCTGCTTTTCTTTTTCTTTCGACTGGAAAAAAAAGCTTTTTAGTGTTTATTATAGCCGGATCATTTGAGGTGATTGTATTAAAATGTAAAATAAGGTAAAAAGTAGTATTCTGGAAATTTTCAGGCCTAATTTTCACATTTTGTACTAATTTTTCCTCAGTTCTTTCTGGGGTTTAGCAGATATTCTCTCTTGTTTTCAAGTATTCTGACTTGGGTCTGTAAACCACTACAGTTTCAACTCGATCCGCGATTACGAGCTCGAGTAGTTCCCTAGTGAGCATTGAACTCAACACGCTCTTTTTCTTAAATCATACAAAAATCATACAAGAAATCAAAAATTGCAGGACTGGCGTATTGGACTTGGATCCACCTTTTCCGTTAATTCATTGATAAAAAAAGACCAATAAAAAGAAAATCATTCAGCTCTACACTTCAAAATTCAAAATTCAACCTTTTGTGGCTCTCGAAAATTGGAACTCTGAATAAATTGACCTTTTCTGTTAGCTCAATCATAAAAAGACCAATAAAAGGCAATCAATTGAAAACAACATTACAGAACTAAACACTCTTGATCCAACAAAAATATGAAAGCTACATAATCGACATCTAAAAGAATAACTTCATGGTTATTCCAATTTACTCAAGTGGGGGGTTAACACGACCGCGAGTCCTCTTCCCTCCATCACCACAAGTTCCGACACATATGTTCCCAAACTCTCCCTACATCTATTTCGTGAAATTTAGTACTTGTGTGTGAGAAATAAAACATTTTGATTGATATTTGATTCGAATCCAACTCCGGACACCGACACGATCAATTTCCAAATTTAGAAAGAAGAGCCCATGAAGAAAAGGGGGGAGAAAAAAGGCGGCATGAAGCCGAAAGACAATTGGCTTAGCGGCGGCGCGCAAAACACCCGCGACAGAACCGCCGGCCCCGCCCACAATTCCGGCCTCATCGGCTGATTATCAGGTTCCGTTTTTGCTCTCTTTCTGGGAGAACACCTCTCAACTCGCCTTTTTTGGAACGTTCATCTGGACCGTCTGGGGTGTTCCTTTCAAGGCTCTCTTGGGGGTCCTTTTTGTTAAATTCGATTGAAATCTTCAATTCTTCCTTTTCTTTCAAGACTTCTGATTTTATGATCTTCTGAGCTTTATCCTTTTTTTCTTCACAGCTTCATATCATCAATTTCTTGGGAACTCCAGAGGGGTCCCTAGGGACAACCTTGGGGGCTCTTGAAGCTTCACTCTAGGGACCTCTTTGATAAGCCCTATAGGGGCTCCTAACGTTTGAAAAGTGATCTTTATAGGGGTTTTCATTTAGTGGATAGTCGATAATTTTTGGGAACTCTGTGCGAAGAAGCATTTTCATAGAAAAACTGAATAAATAAGCGTTTTTTCAATGAACTTCAAAGACCCCTATAGGGTCCACTTGAACTTGAGGTGCTAAAAAATTAGACCCTAAACCCCTATAGGGACCTCCTTGGTTTTACCCCTATAGGGACCTCTTTTTCCCGTATAAGGGCTGTTTATCCCCCTAACCCCTATAGGGATCACTCTAAAACTCCTAAGTACTTTTGAAGAAAGGTAAATTAATTTGTACCACACTCTCAACCTTCATTCAATTCAGGAACGACGGAGTGATCCCTATAGGGGTGAAGAAAGAAAACAGCTTTCACCAGGGTAAAAACCCCCCTAAGGCTAAAATCTAGGTGGTCGGTGTGACCTCTAAGCTTGAGTAGTCCCTATAGGGCCTTTCGATTTCGTGTTCAGATTTGAATAATAAAAAGACGTATTTAATAAAAATTCTTCAGTCCATCTTCTGTTGATATTTTTCATTCAAAAAACGAATTTTATTAGGTCATTACAATAATCGACGAACATATCCCCTATAGGGAAGGAAAAGTGATATCTAAAGAAGAACCTCCAAGGGCCCCTAAGGTTGCCCCTCTAGGGACCACTCTGGAGTTCCTAAGAACACTGAAATCTTTCCCAATTTGATAGACTATAGATTTTCATTCAACTTTCAGGATTTGAAAAAAAAATTCACAATTAACTCATATTTCCTATTTTTATCAAACCCCTCATCATCTCTCAATTTCTACTTTTCCTGGATTTTTTTGAGCTCTAAAGCTCGAATGTTCAGGGTTTGCCAGAAAGAAAAAAATGCTTCACTTATTTTTTTGATAAGAAATATTCATTTGAATAAATTGCATTTTTTTCGATGATTTTTTTAAAAATTTTTTTAAATGACTTTTTTTCGAAATTTTTGTCCCGCTTCTGTGAAACACTCTAGTGGCCACTTGAGAGGCCCTTCATGGATACCTTTGAAAGAACACTAAAGTAGCCACTAAAACAACTATAGAAGCCGCTCTTTTGTTTCTTAGTGGCCACTCTAGTAGTTTTTAGTGGTCTAGCAGTACCACGGAGACTTCTAAAACAAGTGTTAAATTTTATTCACTTAAGTGGCCACTAATTCGACTACTATAGTGGCCACTAAAACGTCAAAAGGCTCGGAATTTTCCAGATGTGAATCAGCTACGAAGGAAAAATACAGTTGATCTTTATAAGAATTTTTTTCCGCTTGCCAAAACCAATAAAATTTTAGTATTCATCCATAAAAAAAGCTCCCGTTCGAGAGCAAAAGCCCTCAAAAATCGTCTTTTTACACCATTTTCTTCGAATTTTTTTCTCCATGTACAGCTTGAACTTCTGATTTTTGGTGAAGTAATTTTTCAAATAAAAAGTTTTTTTTGTTTTGTTTTTTTGTATTCTGTTCCGATTTTTGCTTTCTCCAAGTAGAACATGATGATGATCGTTCAGAAATTAATTTCTCAAATGTTTTTTTTTCAGTAATGCCGCGTCGCGTGCAAGACTTGGACGTTGAGGACCGGAAAATGGAGGCTGATGAAGAGAAGGTTTTTTTAAAATGAAAAAAACTATCGTTTAGGGATAATTTTAAACTTTTATAAGAAAAAAATCAATATTTTTTTGGCGCACTTGTACTTTCGCGATTTAAAAAAATAGAAGAATTGAAAAAAACCGTTCAAAAAAATAAATTTTTAAAACAAAATAAATAAAATTAACAAAAAAATTTAAAGTTTCGTTGTGTAGTATCAGTCCAATGAACCAATATTTATGTAGAAAAACCACATTTTTTTAGTCCATTTCATTATTTTTTTGACGCACTTTCCTTCTCCTTTTTTTTCGAGTTTTTCAACTTTTTATGAAAAAATTATAATTAGATTTCGCAAAAATTGGAAATACTTTCATCAATTTTTTGAAAAAATATCGAAAAATAGACTATTTTCAGAATCTCATCCTAATCGACCAAATTAAAAAATCCTTGAAACTTTATTTTTAAATTTTAATCTGAGCCAGAAACCGCAATTATCAACTTGATAATCCTCGGACCTCGCAACTGTCCAAAACGGTGGCCCTCGAAATTTTGTTGTCTTTTCGGATTGGCGGCTCTCTTTTTTCGCCGAGCAGAAACTGAGATGAGATTGGTCAAATTGTCGGAATTTTTGGGCTCCTGGAGGTGATTAAGGGAAATAAAAAGATCAATTTTGAGCTTCTTCAGCTTCTTGAAGGCTCAAGGGATCACTATAGAGATCACAAATGAGACTGACCGTGAGTGTTGTACAAGTCGGATAGGTGGATAATGGCCGCTAAAAGGGAGAGGCTCAAAAAAGGCCGCAAAAAGGCTGCAAAAAGGCCGCAAAAAGCCAGCATAAAGATTCCCTTCATCAAGCCTTCCATTTTTTCCGAGATTTTAAAGTCTTAAAAAAAGGTGGAATAAGGGAGAGGCAGCAAAAAATGGTGCACAAGAGCCGATGAAATGGCGCAAAAAGGCAGCAAAACAGGAGCCTTTGTCAACCTTAAAGGAACATTTATATGAAGCCTTTTCCTCCCTTTCCGACTTTGCCTATGCAAAAGTTGGAAAAAAAAATCAGGATTATTACTTTTAGAAAAAAAAAAACGAAAATTTCAAAGTTAGAGTGGCCTTTTTATCATCTTTTTAAACAGTAAAACCATTTTTCCTTTTTTTCCATCAAAAACTTCCCTAAATTGGACACGAAACAACAAAAAAATTGATTCAATTTTGAGATCTCAATCATGGATAATTCTTCGTTTCTACTAATTGAATCAAGAATTATTTTCAGGTCTAGATAAAGATCTTCCTTTTCCAAATTTGCGCGAAATTTCTATTGATCAAAAAAATTTGAAAAAAATGGGAATTTTTGGTCTGACTGATTGTAAAAGGGAATCAAAACGAAAATATTGAAGATTTCAAGGAGAATTTTTCGTTTTACTCAACTTTATGATGAGAGATAAAGAGAGCGCAGACGGTTAGAAAATTTTTTTTTGAATTTTTCTTTAGTTGGTGTGAAGCTTCCGACCAGTTGAAAAAAATGTACTAAAACGAAGCTTTGAAAGTTTCAAAAAAAATTTTTTCCTCCTCATGTTTACTTCTTGAGATGAGAGAACAAGAGAGCCCAGACGGTCAGATCATTTTTTTTCTGAATTTTTTCAGTTGATTTCAACTAGTTGAAAGAGGTATTGAAATGAAGCTTTGAGCGTTTCAAAAAAAAAATTTTCATGTTTTTGTCTGAGATCAGAGAACAAGAGAGCCCAGACGGTCAGATCATTTTTTACAAAATTCAGAAAGTGCCCCGGATGATCGACGACGGCGAGAAGATCGAGATGAAGCGCGTCAACGGCGACGGCGACGACGAGACTCCTCAAAAAGTCAAGAAGAAAGTCGTCATTCAGGTTAGCTGTGCAGGGAATGGACTAGTGAGTTCTGGGAGATGATGACAAAAAATTAGTGTTGAACTTATTTGGATCCCCTCGGAGCGGGAGGTACAAAAAGACCTTGAGAAGTGGTGGAGGGGACTTTTTTTTCGCAGATCTTAGGTTACGGTATTTTTCGTTCCGCTATGAACCTAAAGAAATGGTGTTTTTTCACGGTGCTGATGTAACTAAAGTGGCCACTGGGAAGGGCTTTTTGGAACTTGTCCCCTTATAGTGGTCACTTCGTTCTGTAGTTCAAAAAGTTCAACTCGGACTGAAATCTTAGAATTTCTAGATCCTAATGAAATTCGATAGATTTCATTTTTCCCTAATTTTTCCCATGTTTATAACTTATAAACGTGATGATGCTATATTTTAAAGATTTGAAGAGCCATTTTCTGAAAAACTGAGCGCGTCGCGGTCGCGTAGCGGTTCCCGTCGAGCGCTGGCTTATAAAAAAATAAAATAAAGATGTTTTTTTATTCAAGAAACTTAATATAACTTTTTTTAAAGTTCTAAATACGTGGTCTTCCTTCCTTTCTGCACTGTTAATAACGAACTATCCTTCCGCTTTTTTTCGAAATAATCCAGTCTAATCAGCTGATTTGAGTTCAAAAATAATGATGAAATAGTTTTGTGGCCTTTAAAAGACCTACTTGAAGGTTCCGTCGAAGAAATACGGTTTCTCTTTCACTTTTTGATTTTTTTTTTTATTTTGCAACACCGTTTTGGGCTTTCTATGGTTTTTTTCTAGTATTTTTTTCCTTGGACTACTAATATAAAAAAAATTTTTTGACAGAATTTTCGTTGAATTTTTCAAAGTTTAGTGGAACTTTGAATGGTAGATAAAAAAAGGAACAGTACAAATTTTTTTAAAAAAATATTGATTAAAATTGAAATTCGCCTCCTAAGGCTTCCTAAGAAAAAGTGAATTCTTTTTACCTTTCTAAAGTTTTTCAAAAAAATGCCTGAATAAATCTTGATGAACCAGATGAAGCTTCTGAAGTTCTCAACCTATAAAACTTCTTTATTTTTATGGAAAAATGGCTTAATGTGTCAAAAAATGGCCTATTTTAACGAATTCTGATCAATTTTTTGCCTTTTCTCGAAAAATTGAAAAACGTGCAGATTGAAACTTGCAAAGAAATCCGGTGGTATGAAAAAACCACCAGCGAAAATTCAAACGGCGACTTTTCCAATTTTTTCATATCGCTAGGGAACTTTCCGACGGCCACCTTTCCGACGAATCTTTTTCCGACTTTTTTCCCTTAAGTTTTTCGGTTTATAAAACATCTATAAACATTGTTTTTTTCTATTTCTTTGTGTTTTAATCATTAACCAACTACCTACTTTATATAGGGAGATTTAAAACGAAAAGTTTATCGAGAAAAAAAGTCGGAAAAAGATTCGTCGGAAAGGTGGCCGTCGGAAAGTTCCCTAGCGATATGAAAAAATCGGAAAAGTCGCCGTTTGAATTTTCGCTGGTGTTTTTTTCATACCACCAGAAATCCATAAAGTAAGATCGATCAATTTATAAAAACAGTTTCAAAAACCTCCGTTGAAGCCATTTTTACTGCTAAGGACAGATGTTTTTTTTTTGAAAGGTTTCCTGGGAGGCTTCTAAATTTTTACGAAACCCTAAAGCTTCTGGTTAGCTTTGGACTATTTCCTAGCTCAACAAAAAAACCATCTTCGATAGAAAAAAATGGTAAAAACCAGAGTACATGGAGAAGTTGAACGATCAAAAGATCTAGCGAAAAGTATATATACTTTTTCTGAAACATATCTTACCGAGGTTAACATTTATGCTGTTTTCGTGAGGTTTTTTCAATATTTATTCAGTCTCTAAGCAGTTTTGGACTTCCTCCTAGCTCTTATAAACAGAAAAAAGCACCATGAAAAGTTCTAGAAAATTTCATAGGGTTGCAATAAATGAAAAGTTCGATTTTGTACATATTCTGAGGTCAAGGTCGATTTTTATGCTGTTCCTACCATTTTTGTAGCCCCTGGTCAGCTGTGTAGCCCATAAAAAGCATGGTAATGTCATATGTTAAAAGAAAAAAAAAAGAGGAAAGCAGCCGTCCAAAAATGCGGGTGACAGTGATCTGCCAAGACAGGTCGAAGTATCAGCGACGATCGTTTTGCCTTGGGAGGTGTCTTTCCGCCAGCCAGCCATTCTTTCATCTTTCCTTCCATCTCTCCCACCTCTCTGTCCTGTCTCCTTATGAGTTCATTAATTTCCCCCGTCACGAGGTCCCCTTTTTCTGGCGTTTCATGGAAGTTCTCCAACCGTGTTATCTGATCTTGTAGAGGAATTTTTTGAGCGGTTCATTTTTGGTCCTGCACTTCAAAAACGCTCCTTTTTTGGTTCAAATCAGGATTTATCTGAAAAAAATGTCCTTTTGATGAGCTTTTTGTTGCACTTGGAATGGCTTAGCGGGTAAGATTCAAATACAAACTTCCAATAATTTTATCTGATTTTTTAAAATGATTCTTTTGATCGGTTATTATTTGGTCTTGAGTTTTGCATTTTAAAAACACTCCCTTTTTAGTTCAAATCATGATTTTATCAGAAGAAAACTGTCCTTTTCCTCAGTTCTTTGTCGCACTTGGAATGGCTTAGCTTGGTGGTTTCAAAGAAGGTTTCCAACCATGTTATCTGATCTTGAAAAATAATTTTTTCGATCGGTTAAGTTTTGGTCTCAATGGGTTTCGAACTTCAAAAACGCTCCTTTTTGGTTCAAATCAGGATTTTATCTAAAGAAAAATGTTCTTTTCCCGAGCTCTTCGTCGCGCTTGGAATGGCTTAGCGGCGAAGTTTCAAACAAGTTTTTCCAACAATTTTATCTGATCTTGTGAAATAATTTTTCTTCGATTGGTTCATTTTTTTGGTCTCAATGAGTTTTTTTCACTTTTTAAAAAAACAATCCCTTTTTTTGATTTCAACCATGATTTTATCTATAGAAACGCCCCCTTTCCCTGTAAATTTCGTCTTTTTGGCTTTTGGTCCTTTTTTTCCAACGGCTTATTTTTTTGAAAAAAATATTTTTAATTTTTACCAAATTTCTAAAAAAATAAAAAAATTGGACACTAGATTTATTTTTTTAAATATCCGTATATTCATACCTTTCTAACCTGAAACTCATTGCCGCACTTGAAATGGCTTAGCGGGAAAGTTTCAAATAAGGTTTCTAACCATTTTTGTAAAATAATTTTCTTCAATCGGTCAAGTTTTGGCCTTTTTATACTTTTCAGCTTTAAAACTCAATGTCGCACTTCTATGGCTTGACTCTGAAAAAAAAAACTTGAATTAATATTGCTCAATTTTTTTTTATTTCTATGACATTTGGTTCAGCGAGCAAGTTTCGAAGAGTTTTTCCAATTTTTAGTCAATTGAAAAGAAATTTCATCATTTTAGTTTTTGCAAACGATTCGATATTAACAGAAACACCCATGCTTTTGAAATTGTTATTTTTTTTACTTTGAAAATAATATTAATAAATGAATAATGATTTATTAACGGTGTATTTTTAGAGCAATTTTTTTACGCTCACCTGATTTTTTTAGAAGTTTTTATAGATTTCCCATAATTTTTCCTTTCAGAATTTTTCCTTCCTTCATGATTTTCAATTTTGAAACTCAGTGTCGCACTTGGAATTGCTTGACTTTGAAAAAAAAAACTTGAGTTAATTTTTCTCAATTTTCCTTCGTTCATTCTGTGACAGATAAACCTTAAAAAGTTCAAAGTGCGTTTTTTAATTTTATCCCTTTTTAAAAGGTAAGAGAGAGCGCAGAGAAAGGAGAGAGATGAAATATCTAGAAAACGAGAAAAATCGTCTAACTCCTCGAAAAAACCTCATTTTTCAATAGCAGAACTTTCAAATTTCACAGTATTTCAAGGCGTTCTAAGGCCGTTTTTCTTAAATTTTACCTTTTTTCGAAGTTTCACCTCTCCCGTGGGCGAACCCATTAACACTCCGTCAATGTTCACGTCCCTTGAATTTTTTAAAGACATCGATAAGAAGGCGTAGTAAATATTTGCGGCCTTATCGGTTCAACACCGATGATACTTATCACGATTAGCCGCTTATATTGTACTTTTTTTTTCCTCACTTTCACCTGAGATGATGTTTTTGAGGTTCAATTGTTGTTTGGAACTTTTCTAAGCTTTTTTCTGACTTCAAACCGTATTTTTGAACACTTTTCTAGTCGAAATTCTGTTTATAATTGTCCGAGCTTCGACCCGTTTTCCGCCCCGATTTCCCATTGTTTTCCATATTTTTCGGACGTTTCTAGTTTCTGTTTTGGCGTCGTGCCAAATCGAAAAATCGCTGCGAGAGTTTCACTTTTTTCTATTTTTGTATATGGCTAGGGAGCCGTAATTGATTTTTGTTTGATGGATTTTTTGTTGAAAAATCTATTGAGAGAAAAATGAAGTTTGCAAAGGATTTCATCACTTTAATACATACCGAGCTTGTATTTTGGATGCTAGAAAGAATTTTAAAAAAAATGTGAAATATGGAAAATTTGGAAAAATCGTTTTTTTTTTTACAATTCGATGTTTCTTCGAAGTTTTGCTATCTTGAACAAACTTTTTTGAAACGATTTCCGATTCAATCGAACTTGAATGGCCCCCCGCGAGGTTGCTTTAAAATGCGCCTGACCTGAAACGACTTCCGCTAGTGATCATCTCCAAGCAAAGCAAGAGCAAGCCACAGTTTTCTTCATAGCTACAATTGTGTCAGAAAAGATTCAGAAAAATAATTTTGCTCACGTCTTTTTTGTAGGTGGCTCAATCTTCTCTAACTTTCCAAAGCTAGGTTTTTCGCCTAAGATTTGAAAATCCAGTCGGGTGTTAAAAAGGACAGTCATCACGACTCCAGAAAGTTTTTGAAGAATCGAATCACTTACAAGAAAGCCAAAATTGAGTTTTTTCGTAACTTTTAGACGATACTGCAAATCCAAACGTGACACGACCAATAAGCTCTGTGCTGAGCCATTCCAAATGCGACCAAAGTTTTGAATCTGGTCTGAATGAACTTACAGAGCTTTTTTAAGCTTTTAAAGCTCACGACGCTTTTTTTAAAGTATAATTTTTCTCGCATCCCCTTTATTCAACCTAACAATTCACCTCGCTTTCAACCCCAATAACAACACGATTCCAGAACGATTCCCCGGTGCGGACGAAGATGAGGAACTGAATAAGGAAAACGAAACTGGAAAAAGATGGACCCATCGCCGGTCGACTCGCTGCCGTTCCACAACCCGCCCCTACTGCCACAGAAGCAAGAGGAGGACGTCAAAAAGGTCAAAAATGCTTTTTTCAGAGGAAAAAGTTTGGAAAAGCTTCAATTGGAAAAATATTTGAGCCTTTTAGCTTGTACTTTGATCGCAGGGAGAGTCGAACCAAAGACTTTCTGATCGTTAGGAATGAGCTCGAGCCACTGAGCCATGGTCCAGTTTTGAAATAGCTTCCAAAGCTTGATAAAGACGGAAAATTGAAAGAATAGTGTCCATTTGCTTCATAAGGAGTCGAAAAAAATACTCTCTGATCGTTAGAAATAAGCTTTAGCCACTGAGCCATGGTCCAGTTTTGAAGTAGCTTCCAAAACTTGACGGATTCAAAGAGTAGTGTTCATTTAACTTCATGCGGTTTTGAACCAGAGACTTCCTGATCGTTAGAAATAAGTCTTTACCACTGTTTGTTTGTTTTTAAACTGTTTGTTTATTGCATCTTCAATGTAAGAATACATGTGCAGTCGACTTTCATTGATTTCAACTGTGTTTAAACGGCAGCAGGAGCTGTGGCTTAGGCAGAGAAGTTGTGAATTTCGCTCGTAGAACATTACAGGTACAAGAGAGGTCGTAGGAAGAGTTACGGTGCCGGCTTTCCAAAGGCCGATGGCAGAGATTGAGCCTTTTCGCTGCATGCAGCTCCCAATATTATCTACCCCGGAGGGATGAAAGGCTTGGTCGACCTCGGGGGGACTCGAACCTACGACCTTGCGGACGTTAGAAATGAGTTATGCCAGCTGAGCTATGCCGCTTTACCACTGAGCCACGATCAATTTTTTTGAATCGACTCAATTTCTGCTCAACGCAAAGCCATGAAAAATTGCTAGAACCCTCCTTGCTTTTTGAAGAGTTCAAAATTAAAAAAAAAATCCTGCTTTTCTTCATTTCTAGTGACAACTTTAGGGAATTTCTAAAAAAAAGCCTCCTCCATAACTTTTGAATTTTCAAACTTTGAGAGGTTCCGATCCAGCGGCCCTGTGAGCAGCGGCAAACCCTTTACCGGCTGAGCCACGCTTGCCAGCTTTTCTGGTAGCTTATAACTCCCACTGATTGCTTCAGAACCCTCCTTGCTTTTTGAAGAGTTCACAATTTTAAAAAAAAATCCTGCTTTTCTTCATTTCTAGTGACAACTTTAGGGAATTTCTAAACCTTTGGAACTTTTAGTGGCCACTTTAGAAGCTCGAATAAAGCTAGAGACAGCAAAGCCACGCCCCTTTTTGCGATGGTGAAATGCACTGGTTTTTTAGTTTTTGTGTTTGATGTTTTCGTAAAAGCGCAATACTGAACCAAACACAGAGAAAATTAGTGGATACATAGAGAAAACCTTTCTCTTTAATCTGACGTGGAGCAGCGCGAGTGCGCTTGCATACAGTTTTTATATCGCGAGTTCGATCCTCGCAGCGGCCATTTTTTTTATTTTTCATGAAAAAATAGCTTTTCTCTTCAAACTTGTGGTTTTATACTGTTTTATTAACTTATTATGACTTGAAAACCGAACTAAACTACTAAAAAATTCAAATCCGATATGAAAACAAAATGAACGACCGAAAGTGTGAAATCTAAACTTTCAGTACTAAATTTCGCGACTTTTTTCATATAGCGTCTTACTTTTTAGAACTGTTGTAGAACTTCTAGACCTTCTCAGTAGAAATTAACTTGTTCAGAAACATTTTCCTATTCGACCAGTTCGAATCGTTGTTTTCCCTCACCAAACAAAGGGAAAAATTGGAACAATGCGATTGACAAGAGGGGACATTCCCTAGTGTATAATGCAACTGTTTCGAAAACCTGTCGACACGAGTCATAAGGTCAATTTCTTGTGCCCCAATCACCTCATTCCCTCTGAAATATGCGCAAAAATTGATACCAGTTTCGTTTGACTTGTTGAATTTTGGAAGGAATCTTGGAATTTCCTCAGAGAACAAAATGAAAA